CACATGTGTGCGCATGTGTAGGATCGCATCCACACTGAATGGGCCAGTCACCTTCTGGCTTAAATACAGGCCCACACACATACGCCCTTGCCTCCATTTAGGGTGCAGATTCACCAGATGCCCAAGTATTTAGGAGATGGTTGAACTCATAAGTTCCCTCTCCGAGCTTCACATCAGAGGGGGTGTGAGAACCAAGTCTTTTGCCAGCATGAGTAGGCAAACTCCTACTCATCCTCTAAAACCCCACTGAAGCATCACCTCTTGAGTCTCAGGCAGAATCAGAGCCTCAGAGCACTCTGCTCATCACGCTGCTGTAACAAGGCACACAGGCACTGCTGTCATTGGCTTTTTGTGGCCCAGGGACTGTCTGCCCTGGACCCCCAAGACCTTGGCCAGGGGTCTTTGGGTGGGAGAAGAAGAGGGAGCGCATGAGGGAAGAGGGGTCTCCTCTTGATGGGGTGAGGTCCCCTGGAGGTTGGGAGGGGCTCAGCCTGTGTCCTCACTCCCCAGCTTCTGCCGTCTGTCTCATGGTCTATTTCAGAGATTGTTCTTAGAATCCTTTAGAGAAAACTCAGCATCATAGGGAACTGCAGTCTTGGGAAGCAGTGCACGCAAAGAGGTGCCGTGAGCCTGAGCCTGACAGGGGAAGTGGGGAAGGGATCCAGCACCTTCTGGGGAGTTGACAAGGCATCGGCTGTCGAGTGGGGTGGGTTCTTGGGGTTTACTTGTCAGATTTGCAACCTGCAGAGGTGTGGCACCTCTTCTGTGACTTGTATCAATGCTACCTAATAAAATATTGCTGAGCACGGTGTCATGTGCCTTTAGTCCCAGCTACTCGGGAGGCTGAGGTGGGACAACTGCTTGAGCCCAGGAGTTCTGGGCTGTAGTGCACTATGCCAATCGGGTGTCCGCACTAAGTTCGGCGTCAATATGGTGACCTCTTGGGATTGGGGGACCGCCAGGTTGCCTAAAGAGGAGTGAACTGGCCCAGGTCAGAAATGGAGCAGATTAAAACTCCTGTGCCGATCAGTAGTGGGATCGCACCTGTGAATAGCCACTGCACTCCAGCCTGGGCAACATAGTGAGACCCCATCTCTAAAAAATAATAAAATAAATAAAATGTTAACCATGTGGATGTCCCTGCCCAGCTTTGAGATGTAACAATGAGGATAAAGAGCATCAAGGGCCTTGGGTGACCCTGAGCACCCCAACCCCAGGCCCCTCAGAGAACCTAGCACAGCCCTGGGGCCTGGCCACTCAGCCCCCACAGCCCCTCTTATGGGGTCACCTGGATGAGCTAGGAGACCCACTGCCTGGCCCTGACCAGGAGATCACGGTAGTGGGCATAGCCAGGGCTGGTCACTCAAGTGGCCTCTTAGGACCTCCTTCAGGAAGGGGTGGCCCTCTGGGGGTCCCAGGGGCACTGATGGGGTCCTGGGCAGGTGGGGAGCCGCTCCTGGCAGACTTCCAGCTGTGTTCTCGCCAAAGGCCTACTGGCCTCTGGGCCTGCTCAGTGGCTACTAATTTGATCTCCTGAGTCCAGCAGGTTCCCCAGGGACCAGAGCCCCCCAGAATGAGGCTGGCAGGCAGGGATGAGAAGGATGTGGCAGCTCGGATCCCTGTCTGGGGCAGGGAACAGGACTGAGCTGGGTGTTCCCCCGATTCCGCTGTACCCTTTAGGGCCAGGTTCTGCTGTACCATTTAGGGCCAGGGTACATTTCTTAGGAACTGGATTGGGTTAAATTTAACTTACTTGACCTTGTCCATGAAAAGGGGTTTATGATGTTAATGTGGAGGCCAAGAATAATGTCCCGGACTCTGTGGAAAGAAAATCATGTGTCCACAGAGTTAGGAAGCTGGACTCTGGCCTGTCTGAGCCAGATGGAGAGAGAAAGCCTCCACCTCCTGCCCTATCCTTCTTGCAGCTTCTCAGTCCCATCCAGAGTCACATAATATCCATGTAGATTTTTTTTCTGCCTGTTTTTTTTTTTTTTAATTTAAAGGCAAATGTTACGACAGCAGACTTTATGAAACACCCTCTTCATATTGAATCAGTAGCTTGCTCACTGGAGACAGGATCAAAATCCTTTTTAAAAACAATGCTTTGCCAAATTATGGAAGTAATGCATGATCAGTGTCAAAACTGGGGGAGGGGAAGTTAACGAATAAAACCAAATTATCCATAATCCGGCCACCAAGAGTGAAGCACTGTATATGATGTGTGTGTCTGGGTGTTACCAGCTTATGTCATGGTTTACGGTGTTCAAGTGGCTCTCTGAGCGCTCACCCACCGCAGCTGCTGGGAGGACGTGGTCGAAGTGCTGCTGTGGGTATTAAAGAAAGAGAGGCAGTCAGCAACCTGTGTGGCCGCCATGGGTGGGCACCCACATAAATAATTATCTCCCTAAAACGTGCTCAAGAATACGTGTCATCTTTGGGCTAGGGCTCAGCTGTTGGCGATGTTTCAATAATAAAACATGGGTATGTAAATTATATGTGTCCCAGGAGAATGGGTTTCTAACTGCATCTTTCTCCTGATTTGGATTTATGATTTTGTTTATTTAACTCTAAGCAGGTAATTGTTCAAAAGGAAACTGTGTGCCCTGGTTCCACCGCCTCTCCCTCCTAGGCCCTCCTGTCCCTCAGCCTGGCTCCGGCCCACGTGCCCCGTGGCGATGTGTGATCCCGCCTTGGACCCTGTCCTGGGGGAAGATTAGCCATCAACTTTGTTGGGACAAGTTGGAAAGGTGGAATGTGCATTGTAGCTTAGAGACATGAGTGTCATATCTGAACCTGGGATCTGCACTGATATTATGGAAGGGACGCCCTGACCTTATGAGACACACTGAGTGCTGTCTGATGTTACACACGCGTCACAAAAAGCGGGTGTGCGCACGGAAGCAGGGGCGGGGAGACCCTACAGAAGTGCTACATGAGAGTGCGCTGTACTGTTGGTGAAGTTTTTCTCTAAGTCTGAAAAATGCTCAGAATCAGTTTAAGAAAGACACTCGGAAGGAAAAAAATAACCCTATGAACTCACCATCCTGCACCCTGAAAGCCCTCCCTCCCCCCGCCCCAGAGGGAGGGGGGTTGGCAATGTTGCAAGAGTTGGTCCCTTGCTTTCCGCTGGAGTTGGGCCTCCTGCGTGGGCCCCTCTCCTCCCCAGGTATGTCCAGTGATGCTGGGTTTTGAGCTCCATTCACATAGGAGAACAGAGCCCATGCCATGTGTATGCTATTGTGACTATGTTTGATTTTTCCATTCTGATGCTGACAGACACTTGGGCTGGTTCCAGTTCCGCCATCACAAATCCCTAAGGCTCCTGGCACCTCAGCTCCCACTTCAGTGGGAGGGGAAAGGGGAGGGAGGGAGGAGCAGGGACTGGGGTATTCTGGAAGACTGTGAAGTGCTTGCTGAGTTGGGTGTCCAGGTTAGGGAGGGAGCAGGGATGTCCGGGGCTTCCAGCAAAACAGTGGGCCGGGGTCTGACTTCCTCCATGTCACCTGGAGGTTCTGCCAGATCCCTCTGGATCCCTCTCGTGGGATGCCAGGCGGCTGAGCTCGAAGCAGATGGCAGCCAGGTGGCCAGGGCAGGGAGACGAATGCCTGTCCTGGGAGGGGGGAGCCAGAGAATGCCGCTCCCAGGGACCTTCCCATCTGCGGGCGTGGCTTTCTCACTCAAGGCACATGCTTGTTTGCGGCATGTCCTGTACCCCTAGACTGCCACCGCCACACCTGCTCCAGGGAAACTGACCCCAGACATGATGCAGCCAGGCCTCCCTTCCTGCGGGTGGATGAGTTTCTGCCAAGTGCAGGGATCAGAGGTTTTAATTCTTCCCCAGGACAGTTGTGAAGTGGCAGAGCCTCATTCTTTCCCTGCTCCTGGGCGCCACTGGGCGTTCCTGGTGAAGGAGGCATCCCTGAGGCCTTGTCTCGTGTATTAATTATGTGCCCCCAGGCCTTGCTCACCTTTCCGGTGGTGGGACTCAGCACCGGGCAGGTAGAGGGGTTCCAGACCTGCCCCTCCCCAGTCACATCCTCAACTCTGAAGTGCACCGGCCTTTCCTTGCAGCTCCCCACGCTCAGCTGTACCCACCTGTCTAGTTCCGACCTTTGTGCAAATAAGAGCACACTGTGGGTCCTCCTTTGCTGCTCGTTCCCTCCACACCGTTAGGCTGTGGGTGCTGCCCACATGTGGGGCTGGCGGAGGGCTTCGTTGTGTTGTGGTGTGGGACACTGTACGACTGCAGCATGGTGGAAGTGTGGGGTTTTGGGTCTTGCTATTACCATCTCCATCAGATTTTAAAAGCCTCCTGCCTATATTTGAAATGCAAAATTTCTGGCAGATAAGTTGCTCCATCTTTTGGGGGCCAGTGGTGGGGCCACCCAAGGGGTACCAGTCATCTCCATGCCTCCCGTGTCCAGGGATCTGGGCCCTGCACCTCCTGGGGTGGGCGGAGAGGGTTGGGCTGGAGGGGCCACCTCCCGCTTCACCACCAGTTCACTCCTATCCCCCAGGCGAGGCCTCTCTGAGGCTTTCCCCTCCTCCTGCCAGCCAACGTCGGGGCACACACTCACCCCCTCCCGGCCCCATTCTGACGGCCCCTCCGCTGCCTCGGAAGAACAAATTTGGCTTCAGCCAAAAGCTCCAAAGAGTATGGAATTAGGACAAGTAAGTGGGGGATTAAATCAGTGTGCTACAGACTTTGAATCATCCAGGGAAACTTTTAGCCCCGAGTGAGCAGTGCTCACCGCCCGAGTGGGCCTCTCTACCCCAACACAAGCCGGCTGGTCCCTGCCCCAGCCATGCCACCAGTGGCCCAGGGGGTGCCACGAAGGGTATTCCTGTGGCGGGGACACGACCATCACTGTGGGGTCACACAACTCCTCTCTTCGTAGGAGGCCCTGGTACATCCTCGTGGACCTCTCCTGACATGGGTGATCCATGGGTCACCAGTTGCTGGGGCAGGAGGTCACGCCTTGTCTTTTTCTGTCCTCCAGATCACCAGAAGCTGGAGAGAGAGGCTCGGATCTGCCGCCTTCTGAAGCATTCCAACATTGGTGAGCGGCCCTGGGTAGGGCAGGGGGATGGGTCCCCCAGCCTCTCCCTCGCAGCAGCCCCGTCCTGTTTCTCACCAGACTTTCAAAGAGATGCAAAAAGGCTTCCATTTCTTTTCTGTTGAAATATCCCATCAGAAGCCCCTGAGGACATCCCCACTCCTCCCCTGACCTTGAGGACTTTGTCCTGTGTGACATGATTCTGGGGGGTACCCAGAGCCAGGACAGCCCCAACTCAGGGCTCTGGGTACCCAGCTCCACCCAACTGGACAGGTCCCCTCCCCACCCTACTCTGCCCTTTGGGCCTTGTCTGTGGCATTGGTGACAGTGACTGCAGAGGAAGGTAAAGGACACATTCCTCAGAGAGCCCTCCGAAGAGCCGGTGCCCAGCATGTGACCCCATAACACTGAGCTGCCGTTCCACTGAGAACACACAGCAGCCTCAACATTCTGTGGCTTCAAAAAAGCTACAAGATGGCCCAATTACAAAGAAAACAAAGACCCACCAAAGGCCCCAACATGCCATCCATGGGCTGAGAGCCCCTGACTGCTTTCTCTCGCTGGCCCAGGGCTCCTGGAGCTACGGTCCGAGGACAAGTGGCACTGACTCAGAATCAACTGCTCCACAGGGCATCTGGAGCCTGGAGCTCAGGCCTTGCCTGTGTCGGGGAGCAGCTAGGAAACACCCTGGGGATGGCAGCCGCTCTTGGCCTCGGAGGCACCTGTTAGGTGGATCATGGGCCCTTTCCTCCAAAGCTCTGATTAACTTGCCCAGGCATGCTTGTTCCAAAGGGACACCTGGGGCCTGGGAGCCTGTTTGGGAAGCTAGGACATCTCTACACTCACCTTTGCCTGGCTCCGAAGGTCATCAAACCCTCATCGCCTGGGTTAGGGAGCTGGAACCACCTTGCCTTATCTGGTGCTTCACTGATGAGCTAGGCAGAGGGGCAGGTGCCCCACTGGCCCCAGCATGGAAAGCGGCAGCCCCAACTCCAGGGCCTGGGCGAGGCTGCAGCCCCAGATGAGTTTCAGGGTCCTGCTGCTGCAGCTTAGCCCCTGGCGAGATTCACCACTGCCCACCTGTCCCACTGTGTCCAGACTGGACTCTTCACCCTGGTTCCTCTTAGTAACCCAGAACTTGATTTGCCACCTCTGTATGCTACCCACAGTGTGATTTGCTTACTGTTTTTATTTAAAGAGATGTTCTGGCAATTCCCTTTTTTGCTTAGCCCTGTCTGAATTTGCCGTCTGATGTGCCAGTTAGGTTTTCTTCTAAGCCACTAAAATAAGTATGTAACTATTTTTAAAATGTTAAAAATGTTTTTTAAAAAAGTGTCCACATGCACACGGCCCAGACTCCCCACACAGACCCCCAGTGGCTCCATCTGACCTGAGCGACTGCTTCCTGCTGAGGAGGTGGGATTCCCCCCACCGCCACCCCGAGCCCATCCGCCTCTGCCCCACCCCACAGGAGCTGCATGGGAGATGTGTGCCTGAGGGCAGAGGCAGCCCCAACCATGAGGATGGCCCTGCGGGGCCCCCAGGGAGCAGCCGGGTAGCTTCATGGATTACAGGCCTCCCTTGGAGCTGCCGGCTGGGGATCTGGGGGGGCATCCCCTCCATGGCCCCTGGGACCACCTCTGCTCTGAGTGTGTGAGTTTCAAGCAGCATGTCCCAGGTGGGGCAGTTCAGAGGGGTCGGCCTCCTGGGCCCCCAAAAGGGCTTATTGGGCAGCCCAACCAGAAAGGAGTGGTGGGGAGGGGTGAGCATTTTAACTCCAAAGATTTCACAGGCGGCTCCTAGAAGTGGGATATTGGTGGGCCTCCGGGACCACCGTGTCTTAGGGACACACAGGCCAGCCTGGGTAGAGTGGGAGCCTAGGAGCAAAGAGAGGGTCTAGGGGACCTAGTGAGCTGCCACCCTTGCCTTTGGGACAGAAGTCAGAGGGGTGAGAGGGAAAGGGGACACTTGTTTCAGATGAGTGCCTTAGCTGGTGGAGACCCTGCTTGGTGGAGGTCAGCACTGGCTCCCAGACAGCCCCAGTGGGCAGGAGTTGCCCTTGGCACAGGGAGCTGATGCAGGACATGGTCTGGGGAAGATCTTGCTCTTTGAGAATGGGGCTTGGCTGGGCTTGGCATCCAGCCAGGAGAAGGCTGGACGGAGCAGAGAACAGAGTAGGTCTTTCCACTCTGGGCTTGCAAAACCTTCCAGGACTCTAAGTGGGCCCCAGATCCTGGTGCTGAGCATTGGTCACCTGGAATTCTTCACACTCAGGTGATGACAGTGACAGTGACAGTCACAGAGCTATGGTTTTCCAAGTGCTCACTGTCTCAGAACACCACACAGGCTACATAATTGATCTTCACGGCCACCCCATGAAGAGGTGCTATTTATCCCATTTCACAGAGGGGCAGATTGGGGCTTAGATGGGCTGAGAACCTGCCCCGGGTCACACAGCCAGTACAAGTGGCAGGGGAAGGGCCGGCCCTGTATTTTCTGACTCTGTGGAGGCTTCTGGGGCCTGACCTGCCCTTGGTGGAAGGCATTTTGCCTGGGGTTTAGGGACTGAGGAGGGCCATTGATCTGGAGCTGTAGCAATCTGCAGGGTGAGGCCTAGGCTGCAGAGGCCATGTGGAGTTCCTGGATGTAAGGACACTCTCAGGCCAGGCCCCTAGGAGAACCAGAGCCAGAGGAGGGAGGGCACCGGCAGCCAGTTAGAAACTGGGACAGCGCCAGAGCGGGCGAGGAAGGGGCTGCTTGTGCCTGAGGCCCAGGGGCCTGCCAACCTAGAAGAAGGCGGCTGTGCCTTACCCGTTCAGCATCTGTGGCCCAATCTCAAGTGCTGGAGAGCCACGCCTCAGAGGTTCATCTTCCCAGGACTTGAGGACTAGAAGGAATGAGGCTGGTGGAGTACAGGCCCTCAAGCCAGACTGCCCACTGAGTCCACAGCCCTTTTCTGCTTTTTGTAAGCTGCGTGACTGTCAGCTGCTACCAAACCTCTCTGTGCTTCAGTTTCCTCATCTGCAACTCCTTGGGATGGCTGGGGAGGTTAAATGAAATAACACACACAAAGTGCTGAGACCAGCCCTGGCGTGTTGGCTGTCATTGTCCTTGTGGTTCTAGCAATCATCAGAGTCGGCACGTGGGAGAGTGTCCAAAATGAGTCATTCCTAGAAAATATTTGCTGCTTAGTACAGGGCACGTCTCCAGCTCAAGGAGAAACAGGCCTTGGGGTTTCTTGCTTTGTGCTGAAATCACTCACTGTTCCCTCGCCTCTTCCTCCATCCGCTGGTTCATTCATCATACCTTGACCAGCTCCTGCCCTGCACCAGGCAGAGTTCCAGGGCCAGGCATGCCACACATGGATTGTCACGGGAAGTTGTGCAAGGAGCAGGGAGGGAATGATGGTGGTCCACCCTGTTGACCAGCCAGCTTGGAATAGGAGCTCAGGGCCCAAATCTTTGGATGATGCTGCTTCCACCATCATCCTGCCCACCAGCCTGTGCCAGCAGCATGCAGCAGACACGCAGAGCCTGAAGGCTGCGGGCAGCCCTGGGAAGATCTGGGGCAAATAATGAGTGGTTTTTGTCCCAGCTTCTTGTCAAGTGGAGCTTCATGGCAGCTCCTTTCTGGGGGTTGGTGATGTGAGCTGCTCCTGTTGATCTCCGTGGTGTTTGGGAGGTGCTGAGGCCAGGACCAAGAGGGCCTGGTTTCTCTCTGGCAGAAGGAGACAGGTGACCAGACTGGAAGGGCAGGGCCACAGCCCAGAGGCCCTGTGGGTACTCGCTGGGTGGCCAGCTGGCCCACAGGGCCCAAAGCACTCTGCTCAGCCCTGCCCTCCAGCCTACCCACCCGGGCCCTCCCTAGCCCAATCCTGTGGGCAGACCTAGGGCTTACATAGTGGGTGGTGTGCCTGGACAGGTATGGAGGCAGGTAGGGGGTGTGTCCTGGGCTTCTGCCATCCCCTCATGGCTTCTCTGTTCCCACAGTGCGTCTCCATGACAGCATCTCTGAGGAGGGCTTCCACTACCTGGTCTTCGATCTGTAAGTTCCAAAGCTGGGGACTCTTCACCTGCACTCACTCCCGGCCTTGGCTCAGGGGGGGATCTGCAGCCTCCTCAGCCCCGGGGGAATAGTCTCAACCCCTCAGGCTGGCCACTCCCTTGAGTGTGCCTCTGCGTCTGGTCACCTTGCTCCATGCTGTGCCCCGCCCAGCTTCCCTGCCTCCCTCGCCTCTCCTCATTTGCTTTGCACTGAGGTTACTGAAGCACACAGAGGCGGGGCTGACTTCCCGGGCCTTCCCTCTCCTCCACACAGCACAGGGCACCCTGGAGGCAGTGGGTGGGTGGACCCCAGAGGAATCGTCAGCAGCTGCATTCACCTTCCTTTCCTTGGTGCCCTCATCCCGGCTGGACTGGGGCCCCACTGGCTGGCATGAGCGCACGTGTGTGTGTTCATGAGTGTGGCTGTGAAACGTGAGCATGTGCACATGTGTGCGTGTGTGTGGGTGTTTGCACATGGGGGCTGTGAGCCATATGGGTGGGGTTGTGCATACATGTGCGTGTATATTGGGCGAATGTGTGAGTGAGCGTGTGGAGGTGTGTGCATGGGGTTGCATTGGCACAAGTGTATGCATGTGTGTTTGTGTGCATGTATGTGTATGTGTTTGCATGAGTGTGCCTGTGTGTTTTATGAGTGTGTGTGCGGTAGCTCAGTGAGAAGGTGTCTGGGGCCGATGCCGCCTCTCACTTCCTGCCGGATTTAGAAGCAGTGATCTCATCTCCCTTACTTTTGACAATTCCTGCTAAGCAGTGCTATATTTAGCTGTCTGTGAGTCAGTGCTGCTCCAGGACCCTGACCTGGGCAAGGGCCCATAGGCCTTAGCCTGCCCCTGTGGCCTCCAGACGGCTGCACAGCCCAGGAAGCCCGGCCTTGGTGCTATTACCATGGTTACCCCAGGTCCTCCCCGTGGCTGCTGTGAGCCTGCAGGCTGAGCAGAGATAGGATGAGCCTGCATGGAGGCTGCCCTCTCAGCTCCTCCTTCCTCAAGTAACAGACATCAGGCCATGGCACATGTAGGCCTGAGGAGGCCTCTGTCCACATGGGTTTCTCTGGCCTAGTGAAGCCGAGACTGTCCCTGCAGGGGCTTGGCCAACTCTCAGATTCCCCTACATGGTCCCACAAGACACCAACTCACATCACCAGCCGGGTGACTGGAGCTGACCCAGGACACAGTTGCCAATGCCTGGCCGAGGCTGTGTCCTGAAATGTCTGTCCTATGGCCCTGGGGAGCTGGCAGGCTTCCTAGCACACCTGTGGGCCTCACCACAGCTCCACTGGCCTCTTTTTCCAGGAAATGGAGAGGCTGGGGGTGGGGGTCCTGTCCAGGGACCCTGGTGGCCAACAGATGGCTGCATGTGTTACAGGAGCTGGGGAGGAGAGAGGGTGGTATGTTAGTGCATGTGTGTGCCCATGTGAGAGACTCTTGTGTCTCCTGCCTTGCCAAGCACATGCCAGGCAGGTGTCAGGGAGGCCCTGAGGCGGCTGGGAAGAGGAAATTGGCTGGTGAGTCAGGAAGGACCCTGCATGTCTTCCCCATAATCCTCCATGGCCCCTGCGCTGCGGCCAGCCTCCAGGGCAGCAGAGGGGCAGGACAGCAGTTTCTGGGGTTGGCTGGCATCACCTTCAGGAGGCCCCGTGGTAGATTCTGGGAGATTGACAGATATTCCGACTCCTCTTACTTGGGAATGTCACAGGGCTTGAGGACCAGGCCTGCAAATAGAGGGTCTCACACACACCTGCACACCCAGAGGACAGAAGCTCCCACAGGCGCCATGGCTGAGGACTAGAATCAGACATGTGTCCCCCACAGCCTAAGGAAAATGGAGCATGGGGTCCTATGTGGGCCCTTTCAGACTAAGGAAAGGGAACACCCAGTCCTTTAATGCCCTGCCAGGTGCCAGATGTGGGATTTGATCCTCCTGCCCAATGCACATGTGTACACACAAGCACACATATGTCCAAACATGCATGCTGACACACATGCACACACTTCTATACAATTACACAAGGGCACACACATGCACACATGCAAACCAATACACATGAACATGAGTACAGACAGACACACAGACACATGCATGCGTGCTCACATGCACAAGCCAGGATACATGTACACAAGGGCACCCACAGGCACCCACACATGTGAACACATGCACGCACACACACACACCCTCACACAGATAGGCCAAGCTCAGGAGCCAGGCTGGATGACCCTGGGAAGGGCACCCGTCAGCACTGTTTTGTTTCCTGTGGTCGGTGTGGTGGTTGATTGGTTGCAGAAGCTGCTGGCTGTGAGGAGTGAGAGGAGAGGCATGCAGAGGAGCGAGGGAGGGTGAGCAGAGGTCTGGGCCACATGCCAGGTGCAGCTGGGGGGCACAGAACTGCAGAGCCAGTCAGGCATCAGAGGCAGAGCTCCCGCCCCCAGCCCCCAGCTTGGACAGAGAAATAGCGAAAGGAACGCTCAGTCCTTTAATGCCCTGCTAGGTGCCAGGGACCTGGGTGTCTTCCCGGTGCGATGCCTCCTCACGATGCTCGAAGGATTTTGAAGAGATTCAATGGGATCATCAGGGCATGCACTTAGCTGTAGCAGGGGTGAGCCAACATTCAACACGTCCTCGCTTCTCTTTTTCTCCAGTGCTGAGAGCACCCGCACGTGCCAGGGTCAGATGTTCAACAGTCCCCACTCTCTGGGTTTTCCCTGCTGTGGACCAGCCCAGCCCCAAGTGCTGGGCCAAAAATGAGGAAGACCTAAGTCCCACTTTCCAGAACCAAGGGGGAAAACTGCAAGGCAGAGAGGCCACAGCACCTGGGCCCTGCAGCAGAGCAGGCATGGGGATGGGGAAAAGGATGCGGAGGCAGAGGAGGGGCTCAGGCCCCACAGGCCCACCCCACGCTTAGGGTCACAGGAGTGATATGGGAGCCTCCTCAGGGGCGGGAGCTTCTAGGGGAGTCTTCCAGCAGACTCAAGTAGGCCGAGTGGGTGAGGGGCTTGGGCAGACCTGCCGAGGGCTCCGTCCTACTCCCCTGTGGTGCGTTCAGCCCTCCACCTTTTTGTTCCATGCCCACATTATCCGACTCCCAGGAGCCCTTCACATTGAGGCTTCTGCTCACAGGGTCTATCCTGACCTTAGGGCCTAATGACTACTCACTGGGTGGGGACACAGAGCAGAGTGGGCAGAGACCTCCCCTCTGCCCATCATCTCTGTTCTCCTCCTAGAGATGGGACTTTGAACACCTCAAGACCACGGCCCACAAGGGAGGCCAGATTTAGGCACCGTGTCTTTGGGCCTCTGATTCTACTCGAGGGCCACCACTCTGGCCCTAAGTGCAGGTGGGGGGATGTTGAGGAAGGGAGACCAGAACTTCTCAGACTTGGAATTTGAATCATAAGGCCTGGGTGTAACAGCGCAGACCCAGAGACAGAGCTCCTGCGCTGACCACTCTGGGCAAGTCACCACATCTTTGAAACTTGTTTTCTTATCCGTAAGTGGAGTATAATAATGGCCAGTGTCATAGAGTGGTTGTGAGCCCTGATAGGTTAAATGTCAGTATAGATAAGTAACCACTGGTAAGCTGTCAGTCCCAAGTGATGATGGTAATATGGTAGAGGTGGTGGTGCTGGTGATGGTGGTGGTGATGATGATGGTAATGGTGTGATGGTGGTGATGGTGGTGGCGGTAGTAATGATGGTGGGTGATGGTGGTCATGGTGGTGGTGATGATGGTGGTGGTGATAGTGATTGATGTTGGTAGTTGTGATGGTGATGGTGTGGTGATGATGGTGATGCTAGTGATGATGCTGGTGATGGTGACATTACTGATGATGAAGTGATGATGGTGGTGGTGATAGTTGTTGGTGGTGATGGTGGTTGGTAGTGGTGGTGATGCTGATGATGCTCGTGATGGTGGTGGTGATGGTGGTGTTGGTTGGTGGTGATGGTGGTAGTGAGGGTGATGGTGGTTGGTGGTGATGGTGGTAGTGAGGGTGATGGTGGTTTGTGGTGGTGATGGTGGTGATGATGCTCGTGATGGTGGTGGTGATGGTGGTAGTGAGGGTGATGGTGGCTGGTGGTGATGGCAGTTGGTGGTGATGGTGGTGATGATGCTGGTGATGGTGACATTAGTGATGAGGGGGATGATGATGGTGGTGGTGGTAGTAATGGAGGTGACAGTGTGACAGGGGTCTCCAGAATCTGTGACCCCTTCATGCTTCTCCCATAGGGTCACTGGTGGGGAGCTCTTTGAAGACATTGTGGCAAGAGAGTACTACAGCGAGGCTGATGCCAGGTGGGTGCAGAGCTCTCACACTGTCCTGTCCCTCTTCCCTTATACCCTCCCCATCCCTCCCACACCCACTCCTGCTGCTCTTTCTAACCCATGTCTGTTCCTGTGCATCCTTGCTCACCCACACCCCAGGGCAATGGGCATGAAACCAAAGGCAACTTGTAACCTCAGCACAGAGCCAAGAGGCCACCTCTCCTTCATACCCAAGGCCCTGTTCAGAGGGCTTGGCCCTGGGTCTGTTGGCCTCCCAGTGTGGGGATGGAATGGAGGGACTTGGGGTCCACCCAGGCGGAAATTCCCATGGACCCTAGGCAGCCCTCCCCACAAGGCCAGCCCTCCCTGTGGGGATGAAGAGGGACAGATGGTCTCAGAGATGGCTGTGTGTGGCCTGGCTGCTGGAGACCAGATTGAGGAACGGCAGATGTCACCTGGGGAGGTGACAGGGTCCTGTTCCCGGAAGCATAGGCCACTGGTAGCCTGCTGTGGCCAAGGCCAGATGCCACCCTGACCCCTGACAAGGACGTCTTTCTTAACAGTACATCTCACCTCAGGGACAGCTGATGGTGTTGCTCCCTGCCCACCATGCTCTGCCTGCCCTGCTCTTTTAATACACAGAGATGTGTATTTAAAACAAAACAAAACTGAGACCAGGCATGGCAGCTCACATCTATAATCCTAACACTTCGGGAGCCAAAACGGGAGAATTGCTTGAGGTCAGGGGTTTGAAACTAGCCTGGGCAATATAATGAGACCCTCTCTCTACCAAAAACTAAAAAATTAGCCAGGCACCATGGCACCAGTGCACATCGGCTACTTGGGAAGCTGAGGTGGGAGGATGGTTTAAGCCTAGGAGTTCCAAGTTGCAATGAGCCAAGATTGCGCCACTGCACTCCAGCCTGGGTGACAGAGTGAGACCCAGTCTCCAAAAAATAAATACATAAATAAGGCTAACAGTGGACCACTCTAGGTGGTGAAATTGTGGATGATTTTAAATTTGTGTCTTCTTTGTCTATTTAAAAACTCTTTTTAGGCCAGGTGTGGTGGCTCACACCTATAATCCCAACACTTTGGGAGGCTGAGGAGGGTGGATCACCTGAGGTCAGGAGTTCAAAACCAACCTGACCAACATGGGGAAACCCCGTCTGTACTAAAAATACAAAAAACTAGCTGGGTGTGGTGGCGCATGCCTGTAATCCCAGCTACTCGGGAAGCTGAGGCAGGAGAATCGCTTGAACCCAGGAGCTGAAGGTTGCAGTGAGCTGAAATCGCACCATTGTACTCCAGCTTGGGCAACAAGAGTGAAACTGTCTCAAAAAAAAAAAAAAAAAAAAAAAAAAGCTCTTTTTAAAAGAGTATGTATTACTTTTCTGATCCAGAAAAATGAGTATTTTTTTTTTAAGTAGCGGATTGGATGTGACTTGCCTCTGCACCAGTAGGAAGCCTTGCCCATCGTCACATGGCCTGCATCCCTGATGTGCTGTGTGAGCAGCTCTGGTGCCACTGGGTCTCCCCCAGAGCTGGACGGGCAGAGGGACAAGCCTGGTGACTCTCTTGTCCCCAGACTTCTGTGGGGTTCAGGGCACTGGCTTCTTTTCTAAGGACCCGTGAGGAAGGACTTTGTAGTTTGCAGAACAGCCTAGAGAGGCCTGTGCCTTTGGAGTGGGGGAAGATGAGGTTTTCCTTTATATTCTACTTTGAAGAAAAATAGAAAGTGGAACAGAGCCCTGTACCTCTGCTCTGAGCTTCTGGGGTGAGATATGTCACAGAGCATGCTGCTGCCTGCCTGCTGGCCAGGTAGACTCGAGGGTCTCTGCTGGCCTATCCAGACGCCTGCCAGGCAGGTGGGACCCTGGGGTGGGCCAAGTGCCGTGAGGGGTGGACAGATGCTGGGCAAGGGTAGGGGCATGTGGCCTCCTAGAGCCTCCCATTGGCAGATTGGATCCCACACCTAGGCCTCAGGAGTGCCTTAGACCACAACCCAACCCTCCCCACCCCCACCCCCTGCCCCTGCACCATCGCAGGCCCCTCACTCCCACCCTCCTCTTCCCCTGCCCCCCTGCTCCCTACCCTCTCCTAATCTCCCTCTGCCTCCTTCTCGATGTCCTGCGGCCTCCAGCATGCCCTCTGCTCCTGTATGGTTGAGGGGTCTTTGTGTTCATCAGGTTTGGGGAACCCACTCTGGGGGCAGCTTGAGAGTCAGCTTCCCTGGAATGCTCACCCCTTGCTGCCCCGGACGGAGGCTGGGATGGGGCAGCTCCAGCCACGAGGGCGAAGGGGTCACATGTGCCTTCCTCATCACACCAGGCCAGTTCCCTCCAGAGTCCAGCCCCTCTGCCCAGTCCACAGGTGCAGCCTTGACTTCTTGCTCAGCATTCGATGGGCACACAGCACCCCACACACACCCACAGCCCCTCTCTATGGCAGGCTCTGGGTGCCTGCTCCTGCTTGAACCCCAGATCTTCTGCTGTGGGCCCGGGGGCCACAGAGCTGGCTTGGTGAGGTCTGGAACAGCCTCAGGGTGGGCTCGGGAAGGGAGAAGCAAGGGGTTGCTGGGGTCCTCAGGAAGTCCCAGGAACCTTTGCCAAAGCAAATTATCGTGTTCCCTGCTCTGACCTGGGTCTCTCCACTTCCTCCCAGAGGACTCCTGATGCGAAGGGCACCCCTGGCATATGGAGTCCCTTGGAACCAGCCAGAAGAGATGTTCTCTTAGAAACTCCCCTGCCTCCCTTGAGGGTTTGGGGCTCAAATGGAGGGTGTTAGGTAGCCAGACTTGTGGGGAGATAGGGGCACACAGCCTGCTTCCTATGGAGGGTGCCAGGATCTGGGCAGTGATTTTGGAGGGTGAGCTGGAGAGGGGACAGGGAGAGTGAAGGAGCCTCCTGGGTAACCCTTCCTGGGTTGGCCCCGCTGGTGCGGCAGCCTGGGCACAGGGCCCCTCCTCAGGCTTCAGCAGCCTCGGGCTCCTTTTCTTCTGGGTGAGCCTCGTGCCCTGCCTGAGGCTGCCTCGGCTTTGCTCTGTGTGTGTGAGCTTCAGCCTTCAGGCAGTGGAGCCCGGTGAAAAGTCTGACAGAGGTCCCTGTGGGCTCCTACCCCACAGGCATCACCACGAACTCCTAGGGCAGGACTGTGGCAAAGGAGGGGGCTTGACCTACCCCAGGGCGGAGCCCCACGGCTGAACAGTCAGGGTTGTGCTGAGACAGAGATAAAGGACAGGCACAGGATAGGATGGGCTGAGGCCTCCGGGCGAGACCCGGACAGGGAGGTGCCTTCCCAACCACACAGACGCAGCGGGGCGAGAGTGCCAATGCCCTGCCAGGTGCCTACCTAGGGCCTGGAGCTGCTGCCTCTGGGGCAGCTGATGGATTTCTGGATGAGCTCATTCAGGAACAAGAAGAAACAGGACAGACACTGCTTTTCCAAACTCATTTCTAATAAATAAGGCTGGAAATTCCTCTTAGGAGGAAGTAGGTCTTCTTTTGGAGTTTATGGGGAAACTGAAGAGTCTCCATGGCTTCTTCAAACAGGGAAAGCTAAGTTTAAAACATTTAGAACCCATTAAAAAAAAAAAACCTTAAAAAGCAATGTGGTGGCTGGGCACGGTGGCTCACGCTTACCATGCCTGTAATCCCAGCACTTTGGGAGGCTGAGGCAGGCAGATCACAAGGTCCGGATTTTGAGAACATCTTAGCCAACATGGTGAAACCTCATTCCTACTAAAAATACAAAAATCAGCCAGATGCCCTGGCGGGCACCTGTAGGTAGTCCCAGCTACTCTGGAGGCTAAGGCAGGAGAATCTCTTGAACCCAGGAGGTAGAGGTTGCTGTGAGCCAAGATTGTGCCACTGCACTCCAGCCTGGGCAACAAAAGCAAAACTGTCCCCCCCCCCCCCAAAAAAAAGCAATGTGGCTTTTGAAAGATGGCTGAAGGGACCCTGTGCAATGCTGACCGTCCCTGGAGGGGGAGGAAATCAGAGCCCAGGCTGAGAATAACATCCCGAATGCTGCTTGGGAACAATTGTAACCTCAAAATGACATCCTAACCTGTCCAAAACATGAAAACAAAACAAAACCAATCCTAGAGGAGTCAGCCTTTTCTAGAGAAGACAGCGATGCAAACAGAAGGTGAGGGCAGGTTAGACGGCATGAGTGACCGTGAGGTCTCACATCCTCCAAGGGCCATGGTCTCAGATTACACCAGGGCAAGAGCAATGTGAGGACGGGTCCCTGAAGTGCAGGGGCCGCCCTGAGCGGGCTGTCCCAGGCTGGGTGCTTGTCCCATCCCACCTGCCCTTCTGGGTGCAACCTGGCTTGGCCTCATCTTGGGGACCTCTGACTTACTCAGCCAACTCGTCCCTGACCGTGCATTTGCAGGACCTGGAGCCTGCATGACAGTGGACGGGGTGGACTTGGTCTCAGCCACACGTGCCAAGTCCCCGTCATACCCTCGAGGACGCCATGGAGAGGCGCAGATCCAATGCTGGCCCCACAGTCCCTGTATCTCTGGCATTGGTTTGGGGCCCTGCACCTCCAGCGGGGGAGGCCAAGGAGGACTGGGCGAGCTGGGGTGATGTCAGCTGGGGAGGAAGGAGGATACAGGGTGTGGCCAGAGCTGCAGCCAGGACTCAGTAAGTCTGAGGCTGAAAGAAGGTCATCGAGGAAGGTTCAGCTCTCGCCCTTAGCAGTAGCTTGTGAGGTGCATGTGGTGTAGGCCGAGCCCCTATTGGTGTCCAGGGAGGTGGCATTTTCTGGTGACCACAGTCTGCACACATCACTCCACCAGGAGAGCACTCAAGGGCAGAGGAAAGTCCAGCCCTCAGGGCAGTGACGGACCACGGGAATGGGCTGGTGGAAAGCGCACATGATTGGCAGGAGGGGGCCAACATCTATGCCCTTCCCAGGACAGACCAGGGCCAAGACTGACCACAGGATGTGGCCAGCACTGCTACCGTCCACATCACTCAGCAGGGCATGAAGGAGCCATCTAGCCCCTGGGAGGGTCACACTGAGCTCACTCTGCATCTGGACCCATCTGGATGGCTGCGCACATCTCACCCCACAGCTTCAGCCCCTCCTCACTGCCCAGGCTTCCCATCCTGCAGGAGGCTGTTTGCCCACCAGAGGGAGCCCCCGCCATCAGCCAGCCAGCCATGCTCAGGCTCACAGGCCCTCCAGGACACAGCAGGCCATTCAAAGGAACAGATGGGGGAGGTGGAGGGGCTGCTCCAGGCAGATGAGGGCATCATGGGAAGTGGATGCTCCTCACAGTGGCTTGTCGTGGGCTAACTGCAGAAACAGCACCCTACAGGAGTGGCAGGAGCAGAAGAGACCAGGAAGTCTCTAGGTGAGGGCCAGGCAGAAGAAGCGAGGATGCTTCAGCAAAGGGGCAGGACACCCAGGGCACATGGGAAGGAGGGGAGGCAGGGCACCTCAGGGGATGTGAGGAAAGGGGTCAGGACACCCCAGGGCACATGGGAAGGAGGGGAAGCAGGGCACCTCAGGGGACGTGAGGAGAGGGGCAGGACACCCAGGGCACATGGGAAAGAGGGGAGGCAGGGCATCTCAGGGGACGTGAGGAAAGGGACAGGGCACCCAGGGCACATGGGAAGGAGGGGAGGCAGGGCACCTCAGGGGACATGAGGAAAGGGGCAGGACACCCAGGGCACATGGGAAGGAGGGGAAGCAGGGCACCTCAGGGGACATGAGGAAAGGGGCAGGACACCCAGGGCACATGGGAAGGAGGGGAGGCAGGGCACCTCAGGGGACATGAGGAAAGGGGTCAGGACACCCCAGGGCACATGGAGCATGGAGATAGGATTCTGGCTCCCACTCTTGGTGACATTGAAGTGACACCACCACAGGGCTATCTCCCATGAGTTTGGGCCTTGCTTCTCCTGACCCCACTCCTGGACACCTTAGGAGTCTGTCACCCATTAGGACTCTGTGGGCTGGGTTTCTTCTGGGGGAAACTCAGATTCACTTCGTAATGCAATGGCTGATGCTGTGCAGATGGGACCAGGAAGGGTGGGAGCCACTTGAGGAAGAGGGCTGGCCTCCCGTGTCCTCTGAATTTGCTGTTAGGAAAACAAAGCCCACTCATCCTGCTGACCCTGGTCACCCTCCTGTGCCCCCAGGATCTGTCTGGGATAGAAGGGTCTTGAGGGGGTCTTCCCGTCCCTCCCTTCACCCTGCCCAGTGGGGCGGTGATTGAGACCCGAGGCTGGTGGGCATCAGCAGCAGGGCAGCCTAAAAGGTGGTGGCTGCCATCACCCTGCAGTGTGGTGCTGTCCCCAGGAGGGGCTTGTGTTGGACTCCAAGGCACCTGGGCAGAAGGAGGTTCAAGCCAGAGGCTCTCGGTGTGTGCAGGGGCTCCGTGGCCCTGGGTCTGATGTGGTCTAGGGCAGGTGTCAGGGAGGTGGCCTGAGAGCAGCTTGGACCTCTCCTCCCAGCCATGGCCTGGAAGGCCCGGGAACTGCCAACAGCCCTTCTTAACTACGAGAGGAAGCGTTGAAGGGGAAGCTCCATGTGCTCAGGGCTGTGCACACAGGACCCCCTGCCCCGCCCCTCAGATTCCTGGGAGCTGAGCTAAATGCCCCCAGTGCTGCTGGAACTGAGCCAACACACAGCCACTGGCAGATGTGGAAGCTTAGGTTTCATTTTTTTTTTTTTTTTTGAGATGCAGTCTTGCTCTTTTACCCAGGCTGGAGTGCAGTGGTGCAGCCTCAGCTCACTGCAACCTCCACCTCCTGGGTTCAAGCGATTCTCCTGCCTCAGCCTCCTAAGTAGCTGGGAATACGGGCATGAGCCACCATGCCCAGATAATTTTTTTATTTTCAGTAGAGACAGGGTTTAACCATGTTGGTCAGGTTGGTCTCGAACTCCTACCTCGGGTGATCCACCTGCCTTGGCCTCCCCAAGTGCTGGAATTACAGGCCTGAGCCACCATGCCCCACCAGGTTTCAGTTTTATTAAAATGAAATAACATGTCCCCGAGCACATTATTTGTGCTCCAGCTGGGAGCAGGGTCCTGGTGCCTAGGGCTTTCCCACACGCAGGGCAGCTCCCTGCCCCCACCCCCAGCCGCCTTGGCCCTTCCCTGCCTTGCAAGCTTTCTGGCCCTCTCGCCTGCCCCGCTTACCCCACTTACCGCAGCCTGCTTTGCAGGGTATAGGCTCAGCCTGGCCTCCCTCCTGAGTGTGCCCAGCTTAGGGTCAGGCTTGACCAACAGGAGCCTGGGAACAAGGGTGTTTCCTCTGAAAGTCACTTCTGTGTGCCTGGCTGTGCCCTCTGAGCAGACTCAGGCCCAGAGGGGAAGGCAGGGCCAGGGCCAGGGTTGCTAGCCTTGGAGGTAAGGAAGGAGCCCCAGAGGCCCCTCCTGGATCTCCTCTCCACTTGACTCCGTCTTTCCCCTGGTTCCCCCAGGCCACACAGCATCATTGCCCCTGCCCCCAGTGCCTCCCCTTGCTGCTCCCCAGGGCCACTTGCACTAACCCACCTGCTGTTTGCCACAGTCACTGCATCCAGCAGATCCTGGAGGCCGTTCTCCATTGTCACCAAATGGGGGTCGTCCACAGAGACCTCAAGGTGAGTCCCCACCCTACTCTGTGCCAGGTGTCTGTCGTTTGTACCTGCATGCTGTGTACAAGGAAGTGTGAGGGGCTGGACCGTGTGGAGCACCGTGTTGAGCTTGGAGGGGGTGAGGTGTGTATGTGTGTGTGTGTACTTGTGTGCTTGTGTGGAGGAGTGTGTGCATGCATGTGCATGTGTGTGTGCACATCCTGTGTGAAGGCATGTGTGGATGCTTATGTTTGTGCACGTGTCAGTGTACATGTGTCATGTGCATGAAATTATTTGTGTGCATGTGCATTGCATGTGTGCACATGGAGGTCTGTGTGTACATATATGCATTCCTGGGTGGAGGCATTGTGTGAGCGTGTGTGCCTCCTGCACCGGTGTGGGGGTGTGCATGTATGTGCATACATGGAGCTGTGAGTGCCTATGTCAGTGCATGTGTGATCACGTGTCTGTATGTGTGCCCGTGTGCATGCATGTATACATATGTGTGCATGCAGGTGTGTGGAGAGTGTGTGCATTCATGAGTGCATGCGTGCACAAGTATGTGTGTGTGCAAATGTGTTTGGGCGTGTTTGTGTGTGCATGCATCTGTGAATGTGTACATGTGGGTATGTGTGTGCATGTGTGTGTATCCCTGTGTGGACATGTGTGGACATGTGCATGTGTGTGCACCTGTGTGTTGGGGGGTTGCCTGCACATGGCCCTCCCTACTCCTCTGGGCCTCCAGGGCTTCGGGAGTAGTCTTCAGAAATCAGCCCATCACACTGGGCAATAGAAATCAGCTAGTAACAAAGGTCCACCCAGGGTCTCCTGTGAGCTCCTGCCAAGACTCTACTCTGGCAGGTGGGGAACAGGTGACAGAGAGCTGATGCCTCTGGGAGCAGGGTGGTGAGAGCAGGACTCGCCAGTCTGCCATGTCATCCCAGCCCTTTCTCCAAATCTCTGCCCCCAGCTCAGGTCTGGGCAAAGCACTTCTGGGTTCTGTTCAAAAGAAGGTTGGTCACCTCCCAGGGCACAGGATGGCCTCTCAGAAGCTTAGCTGTCTTTCCCTTCCTCCCTCCCTCTCCTTCCTCCAATCTCCTTTCCTCCTTCTTCAATCCCACCTCCCCCAAGGCTTGGTTCAGCCTGCTGTTTGTAGACAGGCAAGCAATGTGGGCCCTGGGCCCATCACCCTGGCAGCATTTAAGACCAGTCTGCCCATTGGTTTTCATGCTGAATGGGAGTCCACTCTTCCTTAGGCCATTGATGCGGGGGCTGCTCTGGGAGAGTGTCACACCAAGAGCAGATCTGGGACCCTCTCCTGTGCCCTTCACACGCCCCATGCCCCCTGCTCCCTCTCATCTCTGCATCCCAAGCATGTCCTGCTGTGTCTCATCTGAGCCGGCCTCACTCAGGCACCTCTGGGAGGGGAGGGCCCCCAGGTGCTAGGACTCAGTGATTCATTTGTGAGGAGACTTGGGCACTTTGCTACCAGACCCCAAGATTTATCTGGGTAACTTTGGGGCCAAGGCATAGAAGTGGAGATCAGTGCTACCTCCTCCCCAATTTGGAGGACAGGCAGAATTCTTGCTGTCTCAACCTCCTGTTGAGAGGGACAGAATATCCTTTTGTCCTGGACAGAAATCCACCATCTTGATCACGACAGCCCAGGAAGCAGCTGAGTGGTGGGGTTGCTCACCCCACTGGGGAGGGTGACAGAGAGCAGAGGGCAGTTGATGCCATCCCAGGGGAGCTGCAAAAGAGCCAGCGAGGAGTGTCAGGTCGGGCATTGCTGGGTGGCCCAGCAGGGGTGAGCACAGCCTCAGAGCTACCCTGGAGCCTCCCAGCATTCTTGCCCACGTTCACTTAATGCTCCTTATTCTCTTCGGAAGAACTGCTGGTCTGTTTCCTCTGGGGAGGGGGACACATGTGGCAAGTCTACTTTGGGCTGGGCAGAGAAATGCAGCCAGTGCCCCCTCTGCCTGCAGTCCCTGCCCCCTCCTCTGTCCTTTTCCATGCAGGTGCACGGGGAGCTTGGGGCCCTCAACCACTAACATTGGCAAAATCGCCATATGCAGAGGCTTGTAGGTTGGTGCTTAGCAGACAGGGATGCATGTGTCCCAGCCTTCTGGGGCCCCCAAGGAGACAAGGAGGTGGAGGTAGGGGACAGGAGCTCCTAACGCTGCCCTGTCAAGGGGGCACACAGCCTCATCCCGCCTGCTCAGTAGGGCGTGGCTGTAGTTCCCAAGGAAGCTTTGGGTTTCTGCTGAGGGGCACTCACAGCATGGGGTTGTGGCAGTCTTTCCACATGGGGAGAGCATATTTCATTCATTCTGGGGAGCTCTTTTTCACATTTCAGGATCTCTGAGGTTTATCAGTGTTAAAAGTGGGTGGAGTGGCTGTGTTTCATCTTTTATGATGGCTCATCAAGTGGCAGTGTGATCCCAAGGGCAATGCATCAGATGGAAGCAGTGCCAGGACAGCAGGACACTCTCCAGGGCGAAGGGGCAGCTTGGGAGGCTGGCCAAGGGGACCCGAGGGCCCCAGGGAGCCCCCTGCTGGTCAGGGACGAGGAAGGCCTGCAGCCGAGAGACGCCTCCGCTGGGAGGTGGTGAGGCTGATGGGTAGGCTAGAGCCCTGTGGGGTTTGAGGGCTGGCGCAGGAAGGTCCCAGGGGATTCAGTGGCCCTGGGACCCCCTCAGGTCCTCAGTGCCAAGTGTCCCCAGTCCAGGGACAGCAGCCTCCTTAGCCACTGCTGCAGGATTGGGAGCAGATGTCCTTCTGGCTTAAGGGCACTGCTCCCTGTGTCAGGGCCTGAGTAACCGCCCCCACCTGTAGACATCCAGCAGGTGGGGGCTCAGTGCAGGGCCTCCTTCCTGCCCCATGTGGTGGGGCTGACCAGAGCCAGGAGGACTTGTTGGGTGGATGTCCTGGGCTGCCCCTAGTTCTGGAGCCCCTGGGGGCTTCTCCTTGCCCTTTGGGGGTCACCATCTCAGCAGGAAATACCTGAACCTCCCCTCAAGCAGCCCCCCAACATCCTAAGCCTCTGGGGAATGGTAAACAGGGAGGGGAGGGAGGGCTGTTGCAGCCCCTCAGCCAGTGGGAGTCCAAGGGCCACGGGAGCCCCCAGCCACTGCGTAGTCAGCCCCGGGCTGTGGGAACTCTCAGTTTGCTTGTGGTTTTGATCCACATGGCCCCCAGATTGCCCTTCTAGGGTATGGGGATCCAAGCTCAGGCTGAGAGCCAACGTTCGTCTAAAAGGCCAGAGCTGCTGTCCCTGTCCCCAGGGACAGAGGGGCTGTGGGCTTGCAGGCCCAGCAACTGAAACTCTGGGGTAAAGGCTCAGCCGTGCCCTGCAGACACTATGGGGCAGAGCTCAGACCTGTGCATCTGTCTCTTGCAAACCACTGTTCTCTCTGTTTTATGACCCACCCCCGTAACACCTCCGGGTTTAAACAACGTGCATCCTTGTGCGGGTCCCCTCCCTGCAGCCGGAGAACCTGCTCCTGGCCAGCAAGTGCAAAGGGGCTGCAGTGAAGCTGGCGGACTTCGGCCTGGCTATCGAGGTGCAGGGGGACCAGCAGGCATGGTTTGGTGAGTGCCAGGGGCAGGAGGTGTTGGCTGGCAGTCGGCAGAGCAAGCAGTGGTGCCGACAGCCCCTCGTGGCCTCCTCTCTCCAGGGTTCGCTGGCACACCAGGCTACCTGTCCCCTGAGGTCCTTCGCAAAGAGGCATATGGCAAGCCCGTGGACATCTGGGCATGTGGTGAGGCCTGGCCCGAGTGGGGGTGGGGCGGGCCTACATCCTGGAGCATGCAGTGACCAGCACGCGTTGCTCTGATCTGGGTTTATCTGCGTCAGGCCTGCCCTTGAGCTGCCCTGGAGGGGGTCTGCCTACACAGCCGGGAGCCCCCTTCCCACCCAGGTTAGAATTGCTCACATACCCTGGTGCACCCCAGTGCTCGCCTGCGCTCAGCAGAGGTCTGGTCCAGAAGTGTGATGGGAGGACGGGAGTGGAGAGGAGAGGTCAGGGGCTGTCGGGCATGGGCAGGGCCACCTCCTTGGGCCAGGGTCACCTACCACAGAGGTGGGGGAGCAGCAGAGGGGGTTGGTGTCACCGCCATCCCTGTGATAGTGTGGGTGTGGGGCAGGGTATGGGGACTGGCTGTGCCTTTCTGCCCCAGTGTCTGCTGCACAGGTGGGGGCAAAGGAATGCTAGGGACCCCAGTGCCCTCCCAGGGCCACAGGAGCCAGGCAGTGAGGGCACAGGGCATGGGCTCCGTGGATGGTGGCATCCTGTGAGTGGCCAGGGTGCTCACAGGCCCTGTCCACAGGGGTGATCCTGTACATCCTGCTCGTGGGCTACCCACCCTTCTGGGACGAGGACCAGCACAAGCTGTACCAGCAGATCAAGGCCGGCGCCTATGACGTGAGTGCACCAGCCCCGCTCTGAGTGCTCCCTTCCTCTGGGTGTGGCTGGGTGAGGGCAGCATGGGAAGAGGCCAGGAGTGAGGTGAAGCCACCTATGGCCAGGTCCTGGGTCCTGCTGTCCCAGACTCATGGCCAGAGATGAAGCCCCTTGGATAATTCTGGCCCCTGCCCAAGAGGGGGCTTCAGGCCTGGCATGGGCACTGTTTCCTTCTGCAGTTCCCATCCCCCGAGTGGGACACTGTCACTCCTGAAGCCAAAAACCTCATCAACCAGATGCTAACCATCAACCCTGCCAAGCGCATCACAGCCCATGAGGCCCTGAAGCACCCGTGGGTCTGCGTGAGTCGCCCTTGATGCCCGCAGCGGGGAGGGGACTCCTAGTGGAGATGGCCTCGGACCACTCCCCTGGCGAGGGCCCCCAGAGGGTCCTATTCCTGACATCCAAGACCTCCCCTGGGTCCCCTGGTGCTCCTTGTGGCCTCTGGCTTGGAATGCACCGGCACGTTTGTGAGGCCTGGGGCTTGGAGGACATTGGAGGGTAGCAGTCGTCCCTTCCTCCCAACTGCAGTCCTGTCTGTGAGAGACAGAGTGGGCGAGGCAAGGGAAGTCCCAGGCAGGTGGGGACACACAGCCCTTGCTGCAATGGTGGCTGATCACGTGGGTACCCTTGGGTACTGCAAACCTTGCTGCCCCGGCCTCTCCCCTGGGCCTCGGGCTCCTGGCTGCCATGTGACCACCCTTTCCCCACAGCAACGCTCCACGGTAGCTTCTATGATGCACAGACAAGAGACAGTGGAGTGTCTGAAAAAGTTCAATGCCAGAAGAAAGCTCAAGGTAAGGCCCTGGCCCCTAGTCTCCGGCACTGCCATGCTTTCCTGTGTCCCCCTGGGCTGGAGTGGTGGGGCCTTGGAGGGGTCCGGGCAGACCGAGGGGCTGCTGCTACCCCCAGGACTGAGTGTTAGCAAGTCCCAGACCATATGCATCAGGTGAACTCAGTCCAGAGGTGCCCTGGAGCAGGCGCGGCCCCTCCTAGTCGTCTGTGCCACCTCGGAGCACCCCTTGGAGGGATTGTCTTAAAGCACTTGTTGCGGGCTCTGCAGGCAGCACATGTCCCCTGGCAGTCACACATACGCTTTAGTACAAGTGAGTCTGAAGCTTCCGGCTCAGACAGGTTTGGGAGGGAGAGCAGAGTTGGGTGGGCTGGGGGAGGTCAGGGAGGGAGGTGGACACCAGTAGGGTATCTGACCTGCTTGCTTTGGCCAGGGCTGGCTCAGCCGCACCTGGGCAGTCCCTCTCTGCGTGGACTCCGGGCTGGGGCTTGCTGCCTGAGTGCCCTCTGCTGGTCTCTGCGCAGTTCTCCCTGGAACCCCCAGGACTGCTGCCCTTGTTCTGAGCCTACCAGGAAAAGAAGGGAGCTGTCAGGGAACCGAACCCCAGAGGAGCTGCCGTGGTGACCAGCTGTTCTGGCAACCCCTGAGGGATCTTGAAGCAGTTAGAAGCTATAGTTGGTCCACAGGTTTAGGTCCAGGGTCTGTGTAATTCTGGAAACAGGTGATTTATTTCAGTGCGGCTGCTGGGTTCCTGGAGCTCTTGCCTCTTTGGAAGGCTGAGGTCATGTCCTACAGGTGCCCATGAGGCTGGGCGTCTGGGCAGGTGGACGGGGGTCTTATGCTGGCCAGAAGCCAGCAGAGAACACTGGCGACACAGCCTCCATTTTATCTGTGTCTCTCCCCAGGGGGCCATCCTCACCACCATGCTGGCCACACGGAATTTCTCAGGTGAGCCTTTCTTCTCCAGGGAGACAGGCGCTGGCCGCTCCCTGCAGCCCATGCAGGAGAGCACCTCCTTCCTCACCAGTTCCCCCCTCCTCCTCTGCGGCAGGCCCGCCCTTGCCCTCCGAGTCTGCCCTCGGTTCTGACACCCACTGCCCACTTGGCCCCGCTGGGCTCCCTCCTTGAGCGACACCACAGGGTCCTGCCCCACAGCCCATCACCTTCATGCGGGGTCTGTGTCCCTCCACCCCCTGAACGCGAGCATCTGTGCCACTCACTGGGGCTCGCAGCGTCGCGTGTGTCTGTTCAGGCGTCTGTCGGACATCTGTGTGGCCTCCTTGTCATCTTGAGTGCTCTGAGCAGTGTGTTTTGTGCAGGAGGTGGGCAGAGGGATGCGGGGTGATGCGGGAGGCTCAGGGGCCTCCTTCCAAGTTCTGGATGAGCTGTAGCTTCCTGCCCCGGCCGCTCAGGATGAGTGGTTGGGAAGCAAATTCTCTTGGGGGAGGGGGGTCTGTTATAGACCCCCGAGGCCCAGGGCACTGGCAGACCCATCTGGGGCATGAGGTTAGCCCCAGAGTGGAGCCGGCAGCCCAGGCCTGGACAAGCTGTGCCCGTGGCTTCTCCGTCGTCCAACACTCAGTGTGCGAGCGTCTGTGATCCGTCTCTCTTGTTGTACGTTTGCATTTGGCACTCCCCAGCCCTCCCCCATCCTGTTACTTTTGCTGTGATGCTGTACTGCCGGGAACGCGTGCACACGGTCACACCAACACTAATAGGACTGTCCTGTCTGCTGTGTGCCCACCGCGCCCTTCGGCATGAGAAGCCCCCACTGGGGTTTCTAAGGAGAAAGGAGGCAAATGCTTTTCCGTGTCAATCAGTCCAATCCTGTTTCTATTCTCTCGAGCAAAGGATTCTGGAACCATCTGTCACCTAAACTTTAACTCTAATCTTCTTCTGCTTCCTTTGTCTCTTTTCTTCCCTTACCTCGCCCACCCCTCGTCTGTGTCCGCCCACCCCTCCCTCCCCCTCGTCTCTAACCCGGTGCTAACAGTGGGCAGACAGACCACCGCTCCAGCCACAATGTCCACCGCGGCCTCCGGCACCACCATGGGGCTGGTGGAACAAGGTAGATGTGTCTCGCCCAGCGTCCCACTCGCCCCCGCCCGTCCCTCCTGCCAGCATGCAGCCCCCTGCTGCACGCAGCCGCTGGCTGGGTTCCAGAGCCGCCCCAGAGGCCGCCAGGCCCCGGGAGCCCCTGCTCCCGTGTGGTCTCATCCCAGCAGAGCCCACCACAAGGGCAGGGAGTCAGCCCCCCAGGCTCCTTGCCTGTAAGACAAGGGGCTGGGATAGGTGACCCCTGGGCCACACCAAGCCCTTCTGGTCCTGGACCCTGAGGTCCGGGGGTCTGGAGACCCCCATTGAGAATGGCCTGGACCCCACAGGGAGCCACTGGACCTGCTGCTGGGGGTGTCTGAATCCTGAAAGTAGAGCCTTGGGGAGCAGGGCCAGAGAGGCAGAGGCCCTTGGGGCAGACCCACCCTGGCCCTTCGGGGCCGCACGGAGACGGTGGTCTGTGCTGCTGAGTCCCACACATGCATGTCGGCCCTGAGAACCCCCTAGGACAGGCCGCTCTGGAGCAGGGTGGGAGCTTCAGGCACCCTGAGGAGACTTTCAAGGCTTCCTCTTGGGTTGTTTCTGCAAAGTCCTCCTCCCCTGGCCCCAAACCCTGTGAGGGAGAAGGCCAGTTCTGCCCACCTGCTGCCCTGGGCTATGCGGGGCCAGAGCCCAGAGGCCCAGGTTGGCTTCTGTCCACCTGTTGGCTTGTGACCATGGGCAAACCCCATGAGGGTTAGGGGACCCCAAGACCTCCTTGCAGCTGCAGCTCGAGCTGAGGACTGGTGAAAACTTAGGGCAGGCCAAGCTGGCAACTCCTGGGCATGGAACACAGAGGGCCGACCCCAGGTCCTCCCTGGGCTGAGCAGCTGAGTTCCCTGTCAGTGCTTCCAACATGGGCTGGGGACCAGGGAGAGGTTCCAGGGTGCTGGGGACTGTCTTCCCCAGGCCCCCTCATGACCCCACAGGGTGGGCAGCCCAGCCTTCCCAGCCAGAGAAGCCTCCTCCTGAGGAGGCCCAGGCCATCCTTGGGGAGGGGAGGGTAGTCCATTCTCCTCCCATGAGCCCAGTGGACGCGTCCAGCAGGCAGCACCCCGGGAGGGTCCTCCCACGTCTGCTGCATTTGACAGGGTTTTCCAGAGCACAGGCGGGAGGGGCTGTGATTAGAAAAAGGGTGAGACTAGTGGCTTCTGGGGAGGTGCTGCTGCCCAGGGTACGGTGCTGAGAGACAGCTGCCTCTACGCTGCCCTGTGCCCGGTGCTCCCGATGCGATGTCCACCTGCCTGCAAGTGAACGTGGGCGACGGTGCATGAGGCCCTGCATGTGCGGCTCCACCATGGGCGCCAAGAGCGGCTCTTTCCTGGAGGGTGGCCAGTGCATGTGGACAGAGCCCAGCATGGCTGTCCTGGGTGACCAGCTAGGGGACGAGGCAGCGGGGCCGAGGGGACCGCCATCCTGTTAGGTCAGCCCAGCTCAGCGGTACCCCACAGAAGTGAGCAGGGAGCTCAGTTCTCCGCCAGTGACAGCTGACTGGTACCATCAGTCAGAAGTCCCACATGCCAGAGCCCCCTCAGCCCACAGAGAGGCCCGGTCTATTGAGTGTGCTTCAGTCTGGCCTCCATGGTCTCTCCTGCATCGATCAGGCATAAGAGCAGAGGAGACCCACAGTGTCTGGCCAGCTGCAGGGTGACAGCAGTTGCCCAGCCCTGGAGACCTGGGAATGGGCAGTGCCCTCCAGGATGGAGGACAGAGGGCCTCTCCTTGTCCCACAGAGGCCTACAGAACCCCCAGCCCAGGGGTCTGGGATGCCTGTGGCTGCTCCGTCTCCCCTGGGCTCCTGCTGCACATAATGCATGCTTTGAACTTGAGATACAGACAGAAAGTTCCCACGCCCTTGAACGCTAGTATAGATGGGCGTCGACAGGACTCTGGCCACAGTGAATCTGGAGTTAATACCAGGCAGAGATGTGAAATGAGCAGACCCCCAAAAAATGGGTGGCCAGGAGCTATGCGCTCAGGACGGCTGGACCCATGCACCCCACACTGTGCCCAAGGCATGCACAAGCGATTGTTTTAAAAGCGGGTTCACAAGGAAGGACGTTTGGAAACTGGCTGAAACAACAGGGTCGTCGGCTGCAGGGCTTCCCAGAGCTCTGGCAGCAGCGTCGGCCGGAGTCCTCCGAGCAGGGCTGCTTTGTACGAGGCCCTTGCCGCCCACTGGACGTGAACTTCTGTCCTTTTATTTCCCACTGCCGCTGTGGTGCATCTCCAGTAGCACAGTTTGGAAATGTGGGGTTTGATAGACTTAAGGATCTAAATGGAACCCTCTTAGTAACAAGGACTGTCCAGGGTCTCTGTCAACTTGCCGATGGGCGTAACTGGTGCCTCCTTTCCTGTGAGAATCTTCTGAGGATGGGCCGGGAAAGAGTTCAGTTCCGCTCCCGCCTAGGGTGCCGCGCTGGCCCCGGTTCCAAGGCGGAGCCCAGCAGAGCCGGGCTGGAAGTGCTGCCGGCGTGGCGGAGGCTGCATGCCTGGCTGTCCTCTCAGGGGTGCGTAGAAACAGCCTTCCACACAGCGCCCACTTCAGTTGGCCACAGCTTTTTGAAGTGTGTGTTTCTGGAAGGGACTGGGTCCCTTCTTGCTTGTTCAGCTCCCCACGACAAACGTCCTCAAGGCAAGGCTGGATACCTCCTTCCTCAGGCTCCTAGGAGGAGCCTGTCCTCCAGCTGTGTTGGGCAGCTGGTCACCAGCAAGGACAGGATCCCCAGCTGCAGCCTCAGGCTGGCTGGCTCTGGCAGATGTTTCTGGGATGAGTTGTGTATGCTGGAGATGGGAGGGGAGCAGAGAGGGCGGGGTGCACGGACAGGTGAGGGGCTGTGGGAGGCCTGGAACCATGAGTTCCGGGTCTTCAGAACTAGCCTCTCCCTCCACAGAGACTTACAGGGAAGCAGATTTGAGCCACAGCGAGGGGAAGGGTTTTTAGTCTGCACTGTAGGCAAGCGGGAAGTTGGCATTTCTGGTCCTGGGAACTCATGGGGCCAGGCTACTTTGGGGCATCAGGGGGGTGGTCCTATGCGCAGCCTCACCGGGTGGGGCCTCAGGCCTGGGGATGGGAGAGTGATGCCTGGGTCCCCTCCACTTCTCCACGGATCCTGGGAGGGACTCCTGGGCTTCATACAAAATTGTTGAGTGTTAAGAGCTCTGTGAGGAAGGGCATAGAAACTGTGTACCCACTGCACATAGAGTCCCCAGGGCCACGGGCAGCCGATGCACAGGCACGACTCCCAGTCTCCACAGAGCCCAGAGGGGTCAGGGCCATGGAGGAGGCAGCACTGGGCATCTGTACCGGGAGGGGTGGTCAGCAGGCCCAGGCCCAGGCCTGTCTATGCCCTGCGGGATGCAGCCTCCTGATCGCCATGGCAACCTGGAGCACCAAGCTCAGAACCACCAGGAGGGCTCATGGGACGGATGTCCAGCCCCACAGAGGTTCTGGCTCAGGACGGTGGGGAGGGCCTGGGAATTTGCTTTTCTGACTGTACAAGGTGATTCTGCTGCTGCTGCTGCTGCTGCTGCTACTGCTGGGGTGGGGAGAGGACCCCATTTGAGAAGTGCTGCAGTCCTAGGTCACAATGTGCCTGTCTGTCCCCACCCAGGCCTGCATGGGCAGCACAGGGTCCCCAGGCAGGAGAACCCAATTTCACAACCTGGCCAGCCAGCTTTCTGGAGCCAGGTGTTGGGGGAGGGGTCGGGGGTGCTGTGCCACCTTCCTTCCCGGCTTGGCCCGGGGCAAGCATCCCACGTCGTTGGTCCCTGGAGTCCAGCCTGGCTGCTTCTCTAACCCTGCTGCACCAGCTGGCTGGCATGGCCTGGCTCTTTTTGGCAAGCGTGGTCCAGGATAAGTCATCTGTGAGACCTGGGCCCACAGGCTTGCGCCCTGCCGGAACCAGCACAAATCTTGTTTTCTCTCTCTCTCTTCCTTCCTCACTCCCTCCCCTCCTCACCTTTCCTTTTCTGTAAGGTAAGCTGACTTCCTCTTTTGTTTTTGTTTTATTTTTATTTTTTAGTTCTGTAATTAAAATCCTAATCGCCATGGAGGGTGTGGGTCCCAGGGGCTGGGACCAGGCCCCCCTGACCTCTGATGGAGAGTGTTAGGGTGAGGCAAGGGGTCCCGCTGTTGGGCCCAAGTGTCCTCAGGGGCATGTGGGCAGAAAGGCCTGTGCTGGCCCCAGTCAGTGCCCAGAAGCAGCCCCAAGGCCAGGGCTGCCGGGCAGTTTGGAATGAGGGCGAGCAGGGCTGCCCTCGGTTCTGAGCTGAGCTCAGAGCTCTGAGGCCTGGGTGCCAAGGGGATGGTGGTGCTGAGAGCAGGGTGAGCGCCTGGGCTGGGATAAGCCCCTCCGAGTGGGCAGCCAGCTGTAGCGCACCCACCCCTGCCCCGGGAAGGCGGGGCCCAGGAGGGCATGACCTCTGGGGTGCTGGCTCCCCCCACCCATCCTGTCGCTGCCAGTCCTGAGTTTCCATCATGGAGGGGGCACCACCCTGCCTTTCTCTGGGAAGAACTTGCATGTGGCCCAGAAGCCAAGGGGGCTCCCCAGCACCCACGGGCATTTCCGGGTCTGGTCAGTGGAGAAATCCGGATGCCTGCACGAGCCCTGGGGTCATGGAGGAGGCTGGGGACAGGACTGTCCTGGGGTGATGGGACAGCCCCCCACCTGCTCAGAGCCAACCTGGGTGCCGGAGCCAGACCTGCCTCAGGACCCTGGACTTGCTCCTGGGGAAAGAGTGGGGGCAGGCACAGGGGTGGGGGTATACTGCAGCAGACCCAGGCCCATCACTCACCACGCCTTCTTCCTCCCCATGCAGCAGCCAAGAGTTTACTCAACAAGAAAGCAGATGGAGTCAAGGTGAGGCTCCGGCCGGGCCCTGGGGTGCGGGGAGCCCAGAGCCTGCAGCTTCACCCCCACTCCCTGGGGCTCCTGCTCTGGAGTCCCCCTCCCTCCACACCCTGGCAGACACGGGAAGGGGAATAGCGAGCAAGGGGCTTCTCCCACCTAAGGCCTCCTCTTCCCTCTCTCCACAGCCCCAGACGAATAGCACCAAAAACAGTGCAGCCGCCACCAGCCCCAAAGGGACGCTTCCTCCTGCCGCCCTGGTACTGAGCTCCTCAAACTCTGCCTCTCAGCCCCTCCTACACCCCTGGCTCTGTGACTACTGATGGTCAGAGGGGGCCCGGTGAAGGTGGGGTCTGGCCCTGCCTGGCCTGTCTGATAACACACGCCTGGCCCCTGCCCCTCATCCCTCACCGGTGGTGAAGTGGAGAAAAGAGGCCACTGTGGGGGGTGGGGGTCTCCAATTCAGACAGGCTTAGGGCTGCTCTAGGGAGCCCCTGGCTGAGACCCACAGATGTTGGGGTGCAGGGGAGAGGCCCCGCCTCCCACCCATGTTGACTTGTGGGTGTTTCTCCAGGAGTGCTTCAGGAAGTCAGTGAGGCAGAGGACACCCTCTCCCCCAACAGGACCCTACCCTCAGCTCCTCCTTGAAGTCCACACTATAGCCTTGAACTCCTGGGCTCAAGGGATCCTCCTGCCTCAGCCTCCTGAGTAGCTAGGACTACAGGTGCACACCGCCATGCCTCAACAGGCCGACCCACAGACCACTCCCAGGGTCTGGCTTGCAGGGGCTGGGCCAGGCTCTGAAGGGGGAACAGCCCGGAGTGGCACATTCCATGGCCCATGGGGAGATGGGGCCATACTGGTGCAGTCGGGAGGTGTCTAGGCCACTGGCAGCCAAGAGGGGGCTTGCCATGGCATCTGTGTTCCCTCAGGAGCTAGTACTCCTGTGCTGCTCTGTGGCTGCCTGAGAGGCAGGGCTTAGGGGCTCCCTGCCGGGGAGGGGAGGGGCCCCCACCACGCTCTGCTCCGACGTGCCCCTCACTGCCCTCACTCTGGGGGCTCCTGCAGGTGAACCCTACAGCAGTGCTCCCAAGGATGTGAAGTTGTGGCTGGTGGGTGCTGGCCTTCCTGCTGGGGCACTGTGTTGTGTCCCCTCTGTTGTTCTAAGAGCTTCAGGGCTTGCTGGCCCATAGGTTCCCAAATTTGCTGGAAGCAGTCTTGATGTCCCCCGAGAACTCCAGGCCAGGCTTCGGGAGCCAGCCCCAGACTGCCCACAGGAATGCTGGGTTTACCAAATGGCCACCTTGAGCCCCAGCAGAGGATAGCAGTCCTGAGAGGGACGAGCTGCTCCCTCCCAGGCCAGGCCATGGCCAGAGGGTGGCCTGATGCCAGCCTACCTAGGACCTCCCAGCAGCCAGGGCGGCCCATGTGCCGGCCTCACAGCCAGCCCCATCTCGGACCCTGTCCATCCATGTGCCACTCCCACCCCCATGACATCTCCAAACCTGTGCCCCCCACCATGCTGGGGCTCAGGTTCAGGCAGCAAAGGGTTGGGAGAACTCCCCAAGGCCGAGCCTGGCTTCTCTGGCTCCCACATGCATCGTGCAGCTTGTTGGGGCCCCACGCAGTCCATCTCCTGCCCTGGACGGCAGCACCTCCGCCAGCCTGGACAGAGTTCCTGTCTGTTCCATCCTGCCAGCTGACCCAGGCTCCTCTCCCAGCTGCTCCACGCCGCCTCCATCCCTGTCCCCCACTCTGTTCTGTACTTCTTTCTCGCAGGCTCTGGCCGCCCACACCTCCTCTGTCTCCCTATTCCCCTCCTGGTGGTCTCTGCTTTCTCCTCTTCTCACTTTCCCTCTCTTTCCTTCCTCTGTCTTCCTTCTTCTGTAGGAGCCTCAAACCACCGTCATCCATAACCCAGTGGACGGGATTAAGGTACTGCCCCCCTTTCTTCCTCCCGCTTTCCACAGGCAGGAGGCTCCAGGCCAGGAGAGAGGTCTGGGGCAGCATTTGTGCCAGAGCGGAGGGCAGATGTGCCGTGGCCCTGGCCGCCCCTCCCCATAGCAGGGCAGGGCCTCAGTCCGTCTTCGTGGGCAGCAGAACAGACTGGCTCAGGCCCCAGGTGTGCCCCTGGAGGTGCTTGGCACAGTTGCGCCCGGTCCCCATGTGGCCAGCACTCTCAGACCAGGGCTCCGAGTGTCCCACCTACTGCAGGCAGGGAGCAAGGGCTCCCTAAGGTCTGGAGCGGAGCCTGCATCTCAGGAGCTGTGTCCTTGCCCCTCCTGGCTGTCCTCCACCCTCCTCCCCGTGCGGCCCCAGTGCTTCCTGCTGAGCAGACCCTCCCTCCTCTGCCCCCCTCTCTGCTCTGCCCATCGGCTCCCATCGCATTGGCATCATCACTCTGGGGCCAGGGAAGGGGCTGGCTCTCTGGGGTGGTGGGAGGGTTGGGGCCAGCGCCCAAGCCATTTCCAAGACTTCCAAAACAGCACCATTATACCCAACAAGGCCCTCCAGCCCAGCTCCCCACTAGGCCTAGGCTCCTTACAGAGCCCCCAGAGTGCCTCAGTGGGGACCCCCACTTCCTCCGGCCAGTGCCACCACCCAGCCCATCGTCAGAAGACATCTTTCTCCATGGCAGGGACCAGGGGGTCCAAGAGGCACCCATGGTTCTAGGCAGCCAGGGCCTGGGTGTTCTCCCCACCTGTCAGCTGGGGATGGGTGTCCCTGGGACCCATGTGTGTCTGAGGTGGGTCATGTTCTCTGCAAGACCCCTACACAACCTCTAGCTGTGGGAACTGTGCCCCTGCACCTGAAGATCCGTAGTTCTGGTCTAGGGCCCTGAGCACTGTCCAGGCAAAGTCCAAACCAGGGTGCGGTTCCCCAGGGACCTTGTAAGATATTTTCTCTGAGGAGCAGAGCAGGCCTCCTGGGGACCTGGGGGGTGGTCTTTTGAAGGGCAGCAGCCCTGGAGTAGGGTGGGAGAGGCTGGGGCTACCTCTGCCCTCTAAGGTCACCTGAGAGGAGAGGCCGGAGCCTGGCTGGACATCCAGTCCCAGCGGGGCAGGTGGCACTGAGGGAATGTGGGCGGCAGGTGTGCTCTCCCTGGGGCCAGGCCGCGGTGCCCGGAGCCCTGTGCGGCTCCGCAGACTCCTGGGAACGCCTCACCCTGTCTTTTAAATTACACCGCTGGCTGCTTGATCCGGAGCCAGCCAATCCCATTGTGTCTTATGTCTTGGAATTTCCTCTCTTGTTAAAGAGTCAGCTGAGCATACCATTCTCTCTGCTGGGTGCATCTTGCTGGGAGAAGTGGAGCCCTCGTGTGTTGGGGTTGCAGGGTGGCCACAGCACTAGGGTGGCAGGACTGGCCTCTGACTCCGTGCCAGCCTGTGCCGGCTACAATGAGAATGCACCCTGGTGAGGGGCTCCCTCCCAGGGACAAGCACAGAGCTGGGTGCCTTCTCTGGTTGCTGCCGCATGAGGTCCACAGAGCTGGCCTTTAAGCCCGGTCGAAGCAGCCAGAACAGAGGTCAGCCTCAGCACCTGGGCTGGTCCTGACACAGTCCCAGCCCTGTCCACCTGCCCTCAGCCATATCCCATCTGTCCTCGGCCACATCCTGACCCGCTGCCTCCCGTGTTTCCTCAGGAGTCTTCCGACAGTGCCAACACCACCATAGAGGATGAAGATGCTAAAGGTACCTGCACTAGAGTCCTTGTCCCCAGCGGCCGTGGTGCTGCTGGGCTGCTCCTTGAGGCGGGTGGCACTCGGGCAGGGTCAGCTCTCCTGCGATGCCGAGTGTGTGCGGGTGTTTGGGGGACTCGGGGGCCCTGCAGCTGCTATCCCACCCTGAGCCTGGATATCAGGTCTGCCCAGGGGGTGGGACGCGTGGCAGACACGACCGGCAGCCAGGCAGTCTCTGTCTCCGAGTCCAAGAGAGGAATCCACAGCTTTTCACGGGGATAGGTTCTCACACCAGGACCCTCACAGGGAAGAGCTTCATGGGTAGGATTTGTTCTAAGATGCCGTCCTTGTCTTAAAGCTCCTTAAGCTTGCGTTTCCGTCCAGCGTGTGCTTGCTGAGTGGCCAGGCAGATGGATGGGCGTTTCTGGGTTTGCCTTTGCTGAGCCAGGAGCGGCCGCCTGCGGTGGGCTTCTGCGCCACGACCATTCCAGGGCCCCTCCCATGCTTATGCTCACCCAGGTCAATGTCTTGTGTGTTCCCCAAGAGGCCCCCAGGACACCCACACTGGGGCATGCTCCATGGAGTCCGCCGCCTCCAGACCGCCCACTGGCCTGTGAAGCCCTGGCCTCTGCTGGCTCTGGCTCCTGACCCTTGTCACCTAGATAAGTCCTGAGCTACCCTCAGGGCTGCCCCAGTGCCCCACAAGGGTCAGCCACTCTGCCAGTTTAGGGGAGAAAATGTCTCACCTGTCCAAAGCACAGCCTCACTCCTGCCCACCCTACACTGCTGTGACGCTGTCCCCTAGCAGAGATGAGCACAGGACTTTGGGCCCTGGACACTGGAGAGTGGGTGTTAGTGTGTTTCCCCTGCAGTCTGGAACAGGCCTGAAAGGCAACAACATGGAGGCTGTCCAGAGCTTCTGCCATCACCCTCAGCCCGGTGGGGCACTGAGCAGTGAGGGAGGGGACCTGGGAGGGGGGCCCAGCCCGGAGTCTGCAGGGGAGATGAAGAGACACCCAGAAGCCAGCAACGTGGCTCAGATCTAGGCTGCACAGCCTGTCAAGGTGGAGGCAGACACCCCACCCCACCTGGTGCAGAAAGAAGCCTGCCAGGCTGCCCAGAGACTGGTACAGAGTCCAGGCAGGCCCAGTGGCCATCATGCCCCTCTGATAACTGTCACTCCCTCTCCATGGGCCTGGCCTCTGCTGGCTCTGGCCAGGGGTGGTCGCAGCACTAGGGTGGCAGGGTGGCCTCTAACTCCGTGCCAGCCTGTACTGGCCTGCGCTGCTCTGTCCTCTGCTGGCTCTGGCTCGGCATTGCCCCGTATTGGCTCCCTCAGCCCTCACATACCTGCTGTGGCCATTGCAGGCCCAGGATCCCCACAGGGTGGCCATCCCAGGTATCCAGCTGTCACCCCGCCCTCCCTCCTGGCCTCCCCCTGTCCTTCTCCAGTCGCCTTCTTTTCCTGCGGGCACCCCTGCCCACCTGCCTGCCTCACCTGTTCTGCCTCAGCCCCCAGAGTCCCTGACATCCTGAGCTCAGTGAGGAGGGGCTCAGGAGCCCCAGAAGCTGAAGGGCCCCTGCCCTGCCCATCTCCGGCTCCCTTTAGCCCCCTGCCAGGCCAATGTAAGTAGCCTGGGCCCTGCTGCTGTGGGGGTCAGGTTGGAGGGCTGGCAACCACCTAGAGGGGCCACTCCAGAGCCAAGGACAGGCTAAGCTCGGACCCTGGCTCCTGCCTCATGGCCCCACAACCCTCAGTGGGGCTTCCCAGGGCGGCCTCAGCCCAGCGAGCCCCACCTCTGTGACGTGGGTCCTGGAGCACTTTGCTGCCCAAGTCTGCTGGGCAGGATGGGAGGTCCCGGAGGCCCAGGCCTCACTCCACCTCAGCTCAGGGGAGTTTCTTGCTGTTGAGGCAGCTCTGATTCAGGGCCTGACCCCAGGGCCCAAGGGGTCTAGGACACGGGACCCTTCCACTGCCCTCCTCCACCTTGTTGCCACCTCGTATGTCTGTCTGCCTCATGTTCACGTCTTGTCTGTTCCACCCCAGCCCCCAGGATCTCTGACATCCTGAACTCTGTGAGAAGGGGCTCAGGAACCCCAGAAGCCGAGGGCCCTCTCTCAGCAGGGCCCCCGCCCTGCCTGTCTCCAGCTCTCCTAGGCCCCCTGCCCACCCCATGTAAGTAGCGGCCCCCAGGCCTGCTGCCTCTGCTGCGGACAGCTCCCTGCGAATGGCCGGCGCTCAGCAGCTTCCCACCTGCATGCACGGCCCAGCTACCCTGCTCTGGTGCCGCAGCCTGGCGTCCTGCCCTGGCGGGGCTTCCGTGGGCTCCCACGCTAACCAGCAGGGCCGCTCCTGGCTTCTCCCTCAGGGCCCAGCCCCCTCCATGGCTCCTGTTCCCACTGCCACTCCCCGCTGGCTGTCCAGCCCCAGGACCCTTCCAAAAGGGTCTGTCCCAGCCTGGGGCAGCCCTGGCCCCTCTGAGGCCCCCTAACCCCCTAGGCCCTCTCTGCTGACCACTGTCCCCCCCACAGACTGTACACCCACCCAGGGGCCCTGCCCATGGTACCCAGGAGCCTGCACTCAGGTGGCCCCCAGGGCCACCCTGTTTCCTGATATGACCCCAACCCCTGAGCGCCCTCCGTCAGTCTAAGAGGCTGAGGAAGGTGCCAGAACTGGAACCCTGGCCAGGGTCCCTGGAGCTCGCCAACAGGCTATCATGGAGAATCATAGGCTTGGCCTCCGCTGACCTGGGCTGTCCTCACAGGGCCCAGCCTGGCCTCCTCTGTGCCACCAGCAACCCCCACCTCTCCCTGTGACTCCGCCCAGCGCTCCTCAAGGACCACTTACCTGGCAGCTTTTGCTGACCAGCGGCCTCTCCCTGCAGGGTGCCCTCTGTCCACAGCAGCTTCAGCCCACCCCACCCAAGAGCGGGAGCATCTGCCTCCACTCCTGCAGCCTCCTCCCCATGCACCATGCTGTTGCCAGCAGCACCCTCTGTCCCCATGTCTCCTCTGTCCCCCCTTGTCCCCTTGGTCCCTACTACAACCCCTCTACCCCCATATCCCTCTTTGTCCCCCTAAGTACCCCCTCTGTCCTGACATCCCCTCTGTCCTCCAGGTCCTCCTCTGTTCCCCAAATTCCCCTCTTTCCCTCGAGTTTCTGTTTTCCTCCCCATACTCCCTCCTGTCCCCCACACCCTCCCCTGTCCCCCACATCCCCCTCTATCCCCCCACATCCCCCTCTATCCCCTACATGCCCCTCTGTCCCCACATCACTCTTGGTCTCCTCACCCCTTCTGTCACTCACACCCCACTCTGCCCTGTATATCCCACTCTGTCCCCCCACATTCCCCTCTGTCCCCCAAGTCTCCTCCATTTCCCATTTCCCTCTCTGTTCCCCAAGCTCCCCTCTGTCTCCCAAGCTCCCCTCTGTACCCCACATCCCCTCTATCGGCCCATGTCCAACTTCTTCCCCCCACACCCTCTATCCTCCCTCCCTCCCCTCTGTCCCCTTGTGCCCCATCCCTCTGTCTCTCTGTGCCCACCACTCTCTGGCTTGGCTGTCTGCCCATGAATTTCTCTCCTGTGTGCCCCCCGTGCCTGCCTTGTGTTTACGTCTGATCCGTTCCGCCCCAGCCCCCAGGATCTCTGACATCCTGAACTCTGTGAGGAGGGGCTCAGGGACCCCAGAAGCCGAGGGCCCCTCGCCAGTGGGGCCCCCGCCCTGCCCATCTCCATCTCTCCCTGGCCCCCTGCCCACCCCATGTAAGTAGCACCTTGAGTGGCCCTGGCAGCGGCTGCCCGGAGGGGCTCAGGGAGTGTGAGCCGGCGGTGGTGCTCTGGGAAGGGCCAGATTGCGGGGGAGGGTGGGGGCACAGGATCCCTCCGCTGGGTCCCAGGGAATGGCTTTGAAGCACATGAAGGTGCCACTGAGTCTCTGAAAATGGAGGTTATGGTTATGAAGCATGTGTGACACCTGTGTGTAGGAAGAGTGTCTGAAAGAGCAGGTTTGTCGCCGACCCCAGCACTCTAGACCCTGAGATCCACAGCTTTCTCTTGATGGGAGGGGAATAGGCAGCAGAGGGTCCACAAGTGTGGCAAGGGCTGGCACGCCGGGAGCTGCCAGTTTGTGTCGAGGTGGACCTGCCGGGCAGGGAGAGAAAAGTGTCAGTTCCAGCCCAAGACACTCTGGCATTTGAGCTACCCAGGTCCAGACAGCAGGGAGCAGGTGGGGACGGAAGGCGCAGATCTGGGGGGCAGCTAGGGCCAGGCTGAGGCAGAGCGGGCGGGACGGGAAGCACAGGCTGGGCTGGGCGGCCTCTCTGGCCAGGGAGGAGCCAGGCTGGGCCACCTCCCGGCCTGTCTGCTGACTGCCCGCAGTATCGCTTACAGGGATGGATGACATCCCAGGGCTGCCGCCACCCCCACCTGTGGGGAGACACCAGGCTGGGGGTGGTGCAGAGATGCTCTCAGAGAAGAGGCTGCTGGGCCAAGGGCTCGGCATGGCAGGGCAGTGGCTGGGTGAGTACCTGAGGAACAGGTAGGATCTGCGTGCCCTCATCCCATCTGCACACCAGGCCTGGGGGCTGCTGCAGGTGACTGGGGCTGAGGGGAGTGGAAGCAGCAGCCCGAGAGGGGGATGCATCCTGCAGGCTCAAAGAGGCGCTGGATTCACCTGGTGCCAGAGAGGGCGGGGGCAGCCTCTGGAGGGGCACTCACCCACTGAGTGTTCTGTGGTTGGTTGAGGACTCCCAGCAGGGGTTGACTGAGGGGGTCACAGGTGAATGGCTGAGGGGAGAGACCAGGTTCTTGATGGTGATGGGTTGGGGTGCCTGGGCAGCCAGAACTCAAGAAGAGCGCGGTGAGGGGCAGCTGTGCAGCTTGGGTGGGTGCACAGCAGAGCTTCTGGGAATGGTCAGAACCCCCTACACCTGCCATGTCCACAGCAGCTCCTCTGATTTTAAGGGGCTTGCTGCCCATGCAGAAGTGGAGGAATGTGCCCTAAGGAGCCTGCCTGGAAGGTCACCCCATCAGGTTGGCATGACCCCACCCCATGGCTGCAGCCTGCCCTCAAGGTCTGTGCAGTAGCCAGGGGTGAGTCCTCTGAGGACAGGGCCCGGGCTGGGTGCAAAGTGGCCAGCTCAGGACTTGGTGCCCAGGCTCACCTTCAGGGGCCACAGCACAGACCTGCCCCTACAGAGTCTGCCCTGAGCCTGGCTGGGGAGGCAGAGGCTGCAGGAAGGTGCTGTGTGCAGGGCAGGATGGAGATTCATGTGGGCCTCCTGGGAGGGGCTGGGCAGGGCTGAGAGAGGGGTGGGCGAGACGTTCCAGGAACTTGGGGAGAGGAAGAGTCGGCAGTGCCCTGAGGGCACCTGGGCCCAGGCGGAAGGTGGCCAGCTCTGGGCCATCCTACAGGCCAATCACGGGCCCCCTCCTTCCTCCAGAAGGCACCCACCAGCTGTGTAACTAGGGCAGGTGTCCCCCAGCCTGCCTCAGGCCCTGTCTTCTCCCCACCCACGCTCTCTAATCTTGGATTATACGAAATCCAGCCTGATCCCTGGGCAGCTGCCCTCCTTCCCGCAGCCACCTCTGGCTCTGAGAGATGGGGCTTGGGGCCAGCCTGGGGTCCCAGGAGTCCAGGCCAGGATGAGAACCCGCTCTGGCCCCAGCTGGACGCATTGGGCCTGCCTGGGCCTGCCACCTCACCCCAAGAGAGCCACAGGCAATTTGAGGCTCCCTTTCATGTTGGGGCACCTGGAAGGCCTGACCTTGCAGAGGCTCTTGGCATGGGCAGACCCTCCAAACCCAGACCCTGCAACTGCCTCCCCTTTGTGCCTGGAGCTGCCAGGACAGCTTGTCCTTAGCTAGCAGGCTTCCCCACCTGGGCACCCCTTCATGCTGGGCCCTCTCCTTCCCCTCCCTCGGGAATCATGCCCTTCTTCAGGGGCCCGGGTATCGAGGACACCAAAGTGCCTATATGCTACGTGGGGAGGTGGAGTGGGGGCTGGGTCAGGCTGGGCAGTGCTATTCCGCAGGGCAGAGGCAGGCTCGGCTTCCTGTCTGTGAAATGGATGGGTGGCTCTCACAACAGACCTGCTTCCCACCCTTCAGCATGGTTACCACTCTTGATCGGAACTCTGACCACACATCTCCTCTTCTGTTGACACACTTTTCCCACCAACTCCCGTTTTAATTACAATTTGTTTAAAAGCACTGCATATTACTTCATTAGACGGAAGATTAGTTTCACTTGCCACCAGTGTAAGGTAACTATAGAACCAAAGCAGACTGGAAACCACATGAAACAATGTCACTCTCTCCTCCATTCCAGCTGCATGCTGCTGTGCGCCTGAGACCCCCCGTGGAGTGGGAGGGGCAGCTCTCTCTGTCCATTAGAAAGGGGGATTAACTAAGTGACAGGAGGTGTTTGGGACATGTGGACACCAGACTTCTCTTGATGCAAGAAGGACAGAGCTAGACAGCTTAGTGGAGTCTGGCTCAGGGGCTACTGGGAGGACTGGCTACACGTGGGAGAGAGGTCAGACCTGAAGCTTGGGGCCACCTCCAGGAAAGGACAGGTGAAAGGGGGGCATGAGGCAGGGGAGAGGCAGGTGCCAGGCAGAGGGTGGAGAAGAGGCAGGAACGTAGCAGCTGGGGTGGGGGTGGAGTAGGCCCTCAAGTGTCATATGCTACTATCCTGGGGCCCACGGGCAAGGACAGGAACAGCCATAGCACGTGTTAGGACAGAGCCCTGTGCCTTCCCGGAGCTGGGCAGGTGGAGTGGGGCCAGGAAAGGGACTCATGGTGGCTGCAGCAGGAACTGGAGGGGAAGGGGCCTCTGGAGCCTGGAGCCCACCTTCCTGGGGGGCAGCTTTCCAGGGTCCATCAGGTGGGTGGGAACTGGGCTTCTGTAGTAAGACTGCCCTGAGGAACATCCATGACTTGGTCTAGTGAAAGTAGGCAAGAAAGGGACACATGCTGGCAGCAGAAGTGCAGCTGGGTCAGGAGAGAGGGCCTTTCCAGATAGGGGCAACCCAGGGGTGCCCACGCCACACAACACAGGCACACATGACCTGTGTACACTCACAGGCACTGCACACACACCTGCCTGCACACATGCATGCTTCCACACAGGCACAGGCACGAGTGATCACATGTACGTACATGCATATGATCACATACATGAACATGTGTTCACCCCACTTCTCAGGCGCCCTTGGCTCCTCCTACTGTCACGGTGCAGCAGGGGACATGAGGCCCCAGAGCAGATAGGTGCAGCGCAGGCATTCCCAGGTAGCGCCCACACACATGCATGAGCACACCTGGGCGTGCGGCGCCTTCTTTGTGGACTCAGTCCAGCTACCAGGTGGGCTCCCTGGTGAGGTGAGCTCCTAGAGGCCTGGTAGGAGAGATAAAGGCAATCCCACCACAGACGTGCTTAGAATTCCCTTCTCTGGCCAGGTGCAATGGCTCACGCTTGTAATCCCAGCACTTTGGGAGACTGAGGTGGGGGGAATCACTTGAGGTCAGGAGTTCAAGAGCAGCCTGGCCAACATGGTGAAACCTCATCTCTACTAAAAATACACACAAAAAATTAGCCAGGCATGGTGGCGGGTGCCTGTAGTCCCAGCTACTCGGGAGGCTGAGGCAGGAGAATCCCTTGAACCCGGGAGGTGGGGGTTGCAGTGAGCTGAGATCATGCCACTGCACTCCAGCCTGGGTGACAAAGTGAGACTCCATTTCAAAAACAAAAAAAAAAAGGATTTCCTCCTCTGGGAATTTAGACCACAGACAGACAGGTCACATGTATGGCCTTTGGAGGCAGCGCTCACAGCCGAAGAGTGGAAACGTCACCACAGGGCCTGCCTTCTTGGTGAAAATGGTGTCCTGAAGGGCAGGCAGCTGTTTGAGGGTGGTGTCCCAGGTGTGGCCTGCAGCAGCCTGAGGGTACAGAGCGCAGTGCTGGGAGTGCAGAGACCCCCACAGGGAGAGTTCCCAGGAACCTGCTTCCAGGGCACTTCTGGGGGTTTGAGTTTTTTCCATGAACAAATCACTTTGAAAAATTACTGTTACTCATGTGTATAGGTGAGTGTGCGTGTGCACGTGTGTTCTGTGAGTGTGCATGTGTGTGCTTGCCTGCAAATATATCCTCGCAGAAATGGCTAGGGACCTCACTCAAGACCGTAGATCTGTCTAAAGAGTGAATGAAGCAAGATTGAGGAGAACACGGGCATCTTCAAACTATATGTGTGGTGCTTTATTTTAAATGCATCTAAAGTGAATAGGAGCATGTTAAGGTTTGAATCTGTAGAATGTAGGTTATATTGTTATTTCTGCATCTTCCACACGTTTAAAATATTTTACAATGAAAATAAGTTGTAGGTAAAGCAGCAACACAGGCTGCAGGTGAGCGCCCTGGAGGCCAGTGAGGACCAGCATGTCTGGGCCTGTTGGAAGCCGAGGGGAGCGGGCAGGAGCCACAGGCAGGCTCCCTGGAGAAGCCTGGGTGTGGGGGTGCGGGAAAACGGGAGTGTCTGCAGGGGTAGCATGTGGGCCCCGGACTGCAAGCAGGTGGAGCCAGCAGGATGCAGCTCCTATGAGAAAGTGGGGAACAAGAGACCAGCTTGCTCTTCCTGCTGCCAGGACACCCCTGGTCATCGGTCCAGGGAACCCTGCAGCCTCAGCTGCGCCTGGCTGCCCCCTGCTGCTTCCTCCTCCTCAGCCTCGTGGCCTTGCTGATGGCTCCTTCTTCAAGGCTGGTCTCTGCCTTCTCACCTGGTGCTTGTTCTCGGTAGCCCCTCACCAGAGCTGACTGGTGAAGGAAGCACTAACAGCCCAAGGCTCGGGAGGAGGGTGGGGGCGGGAGGCTGCAGGAAAGCATGGGGCGAGGTCTGGTGGGCCCAGTGGCCAGTCCACAGGTGGGCAGGAGGGAGACTGCAGCAGACAGCGAGTGGGGCCAGGAGGGCAACCTCCAGGTAGATTGTGGGCATTTTTTTTCCCTCTTTCTGCATTTTCCAGGCATTTTGTAATGTGGATAGAACATTTCTGTCATTCACAAATATTTTAGTTAAGTAAGATGGAAGCTGTTGCACTTGGAAATGAGGAAGCCACTGGGGAGAGGGCTGAGAGGATCTCCTCTGCGAGGAGCAGCAGGAACACGGAGTGGCTGCAGCTCACGCTCCCCTAGGCCCTCCCCTGGGTTGTGTGGAGGGGTCTAGGGGGAATGGGCCAGCGCCCATGGTCACCTGGCCGTGTCTCCCCACAGCCCGGAAGCAGGAGATCATCAAGACCACGGAGCAGCTCATCGAGGCCGTCAACAACGGTGACTTTGAGGCCTACGCGTGAGTCCCCGGGGCTGGGGGGGGGCTGTGCAGGACAAGGATGTGGGACTCTGGGTGGGGGCCTGCTCCAAGTTGGGGGTCTACAGGGCCCCTCCTCACTTGGATTTGGCCCCCAGGAAAATCTGTGACCCAGGGCTGACCTCGTTTGAGCCTGAAGCACTGGGCAACCTGGTTGAAGGGATGGACTTCCACAGATTCTACTTCGAGAACCGTGAGTGAGGGAGCAGAGGAATGCATGAGGGGGCGGTGCCCCGAGGAGAGCCCCTCGACCCCTCCCAGGGGCAGCCTAGTGGCTGCCTATGGAAGCCCTGGCCCTCTGTGCCCAGGGTTGGCCAGCGCGCCCCCCCCCCCCGCCCACAGAGGCCATCTCTGGCCCCCAGAATCTCACTCTTGGAGGGCCCATGCAGCTCCCAGGAGAGCCGAGCCTCCCCAGTAAGGGGAGTTAAGAGGGAATGGGGGGCCGGACACGGTGGCTCACGCCTGTAATCCCAGCACTTTGGGAGGCCGAGGCAGGTGGATCACGAGGTCAAGTGATCGAGACCATCCTGGTCAACATGGTGAAACCCTGTCTCTACTAAAAATACAAAAAATTAGCTGGGCATGGTGGCGCATGCCTGTAATCCCAGCTACTCAGGAGGCTGAGGCAGGAGAATTGCCCGAACCCAGGAGGCGGAGGTTGCGGTGAGCCGAGATCGCGCCATTGCACTCCAGCCTGGGTAACAAGGGCGAAACTCCGTCTCAAAAAAAAGAGGGAAGGGGTCGGGCTGGTGGGGTGGAAGGTGGGCACTGGGCAGCCACAGCACCTGAGACCCCCCGCACTCCTGTCCCCAGTGCTGGCCAAGAACAGCAAGCCGATCCACACGACCATCCTGAACCCGCACGTTCATGTCATCGGCGAGGATGCCGCCTGCATCGCCTACATCCGGCTCACGCAGTACATCGACGGGCAGGGCCGGCCCCGCACCAGCCAGTCTGAGGAGACCCGCGTGTGGCACCGCCGCGATGGCAAGTGGCAGAATGTGCACTTCCACTGCTCGGGTGCGCCTGTGGCCCCGCTGCAGTGAAGGTGAGTGCCCTGGCCCAAGTGACAGCTGGGGCAGAGGGGTGGCTGTGGTGTGAGTGGCTGCAGCCCGGGGAGGCAATGGGGAGCAGTGGGGCCTGTGGCAGAGGCCATGCCTGGGGCACCCCTGAGCTTTCCTAGTGAGGCCATGGGAATGATGTGAGGGACCACAGCAGGTTGGGTGTGGCGGGCCTCCCCAGAGGACTGAGGAGCTGACGAGGGCCTGAGCCATCTCGCTGGCCAGAGCTGGGTGGGTTGCGGGTGGATGGGTCCCAGGGAGCGCACTCCTGGGCACTGTGCCCTGTTTGTGAGGACTGTTAGAGCCCCAGGTGGCGGGTGCAGCGGGCCCAGTGCCCAGTTTTACAGGGATGGTAGTAATTGGGCTGGGCACCTTGAACCTCTCTCTTGAGTGGGCCCTTTTCTGGACGTTAACTTTAACCCTCCCTGCGGTGCTGCGTGGCAGATAGCAGAGCCTGGGGGTAGACGGGAGAGGGGCTGCTGAAGAGCTGACCCAGCCGCCTCATTTCAGAGCTGCGCCCTGGTTTCGCCGGACAGAGTTGGTGTTTGGAGCCCGACTGCCCTCGGGCACACGGCCTGCCTGTCGCATGTTTGTGTCTGCCTCGTTCCCTCCCCTGGTGCCTGTGTCTGCAGAAAAACAAGACCAGATGTGATTTGTTTAAAATCAAAACAAAAAAAAAAAACAAGATGACGACGATAACCACACAAAAAAATTGACATCAGATGAAATGAAAAAAAAAAAAAAACTAAAGGAAGGAAAAAGCTGTAAAAATCACTGGCATTCGTGGGGCCGCTCCCCACCCAAGCTCCACGTGTGTCCGTCTGTGCTCCTGGCCCTCTGGGGGACCAGCTGGGACATGAACTTGTCTGCCAGTCCCCTGTCGCGTGCTGAACGGTGTTAGTTTGTAGGTAACGCACACACCCCACACCTAAGGCGTCTGCATCCTCCCGCCAACGCATGGGCTCCACGTGGTGTGCTCGCTGGCTGTCGTGACTGTCAGCTGTCTCTTGGGAGGGGCTGTGGGGGCCCGCTGGGCTGCCTCCTTTCCCGCTAGTCGTGCCTGAGAGTTGCTGTTGTTCCTGCTTTCCCTTCCCCTCCTTTCATCCCCTGAAGGGCTAGGTGTGGGTTTTCCGAGCCCGGCATCCCCACACACCCAGCACAGACAGCCCTTTGGCAGAGCCCAGGCTGCCCCTCATCCCCTGGAGTGTTGAGGAGACTGGAGTCCCGTCCCCAAGGCCATCAAAGATGCCCCCACAGACCCAGGACTCCAGCTATGCTCCTTCTGGAGGAATAAAGTGCAGCGAGGGGCACAGTTTAGCTTCAGGCCTCTTGCCGGGCAAGAGACAGCACTGTTGGCTACAGCTCCCTGCAGCCAGCTGTGGCGAGAGGACTCTGCCTGGGCTGGCCTCCCTCCTGTGTGTGAGGCATCTGTCTCTTCTCTACCGGCCAGCAGCAGACGCACTGGCAGCTCCCTACCCTGTTTCCGCCCCTTGGTCCTCCCCCAGCCTGTTTGGCTTCTTCCCCACCCCGCCCCACCCAGCCCCCATGCAGGTGGGAGCAGACTTTTGACCAAGGACTGCCGACCTTCCTGAGCCCCCAGCTGAGGCTGGAAGGGGAGGCCAGGCTTTGTGTCTGGGCATATTTGCCTGCTGATGGAGTCTGGGGGAGCCTGGGGTTTGGGGTTTGGTCGGGTGGTGCAGCAAGTGGCAGAGAGGGGTCAGAGGTGGTGAGTGCCGGGCATGACGAGGGTCCATGCAGGGGTCTGATGAAGTGGGAGTGCCTTTGGAATCTGGTCTGGGAGCAGAAGGAAGCAAAGGCTACGGTGGGAGCCAGCCCAGTGCACGTGGGAGGTGTGAGGGCAGTGCTGCCAGCACAGTGTCAGGTGTGCCAGCGCCTTGGTGAGCTGCAGTGCGTGTGAGGGCACCTTCTAAGTTAGGCCAGGGATGTAGCCATGGAGATAAGGTGGGCTGGGGACAGAAACACATGGGCACAGGGCCCAGGACACCAGCGGATGGAGGGCGGGGTCCAGCCTTGTGCTCCTGAGCGTCGGGTGCCTGGGTTTGAGGCAGTGGGTCCCCGGCTCCTCGTGATGGTGTGTACCATGGGGAGGCTCAGGGACAGGGCAAGCCCGAGCACGGTGGGGCTACGGGTGGGTCTGAAGCCAGGTTGGGTGGGAGCGGTCAGGAGCCCTGACTGCAGAAGGTCAGGGGCTCCTGCCCCAGTGCCTGCCCACCTTCAATTCATGTCGTTTTCAACAAGGATTTTCTTTATCTTCCCCCACAAATCGAGCCAAGGGAGGGGCACAGAATGGGGAACAGGACACAGGATCCTAAACTCCAAGGGGACTGTCCACCGATGAACACTCAGAGTGGACACCACCTTCCGTTCACGCTGTGCCCAGGACAGCTGTCCCCATCCACGAACACAGGGTAAACATCTGCCGGGCTCCGCACCAGTGGCTCCCTGGGCCACGGGACAGCGGCAGGGCTCACCATGGACAGCACGTGGCCCAGTGGCCGGCCACCCTGGCGTCCTGGGGCCTCCTCCCCTCCTCTCCCTCTCACCTTGTCACCTCCACGGAGCTGCCTGTCTGGGATAATTTGGGGATTTTTTTTCTGGGGGATAATTCTTTTGCATGACCCCTAAAGAGCAAGCCACACCGCTATGCTAGCTAGGTGTCCGCGGTGTGGTGGTGGCGGCCGCTGGCCAGCACTGCAGGGGTTGGCTGCCCACGGTGCTGGCTGGCCTCCCCTCCTCTCTCTTTTTGCTGAGTTTCATTGTCTTTTCTTTCTGAGCCTTGTAAGTGTACACAAATTATTCTTATTTTGTTCTGTCTCGGGAAACTGCAAATAAAAGAAAAACAGGACAAACTGCTTCAAGTGCAGTGGGGTGCTTTAGCTGGAATCCTGCCGACCTCCCGTGCCAAAATAGACTCAAGCCCAGTCCCTGGCCAAGACCCTACTTAAGCCCCTCCTCCAATGGAAGGTAGTGCTATGGAGCCCTGAACTGGCCCCAGCAATCCTGAGCCCCTCTAGTGAACCCACACCGGGTAGGGCACTAGTCATAGATCATAGCTCCGCCAGCTGTCCCCACCTCTTTCTCTGGTCCTCTGAAGTCTTCTGGGCCGCGGGTGGACCACCCTGGATGCTGGAACTGCAACTGGCTCCTAGCCCCCAATTCCCCTGACCTCTACAGTCACTCCCAGTGGCTGCTAAAGATGAGGCCAGGGCAGCCTCTGGGCAGGAAGGAGCCCCAGGACCAAGACCTCCGGCTGTCCTGCTGTCTCCCGTCACCTCTGCTACCTGTATTGGCTATTCTGGACACTGAGGACACACAGTGACCACGGAGCTGGGCTCTACCCCAGTGGATTACGCAGACAGATGGCACGCAGGCCTGTGTGGACATCAGCCTTAGCACCAGATGCAGGCAAGGTGCAAGGTGATACAGTAGGCAGCCACCATGGGAGCCAGGAGGCTCCAGCGGAGGCCACACAACCCAGAATCCAGGACACAGAGCTGAGATGGAGACAGGGAAGCCAGATGCCAGCCCAGACTGGCCAGGTGCTACATGCCTGTGGGCCAGGCCAGGCTTGGGGACTTTGTCCTGGGTATGGAGACAGTTACCCCTCAGGCCTTCCCTCTACATCTCCAGCCCAAGCTAAGAGCAAACCCTTAGCTTGGAGTAAGGAGTAACCCCCTGCCTGGTTTCTCCTGTTCTCAGGCTCTACCCACCACTTGTATTGCCTGGCCCCACAGGGCACATGCTCAGGCCCAGCCTGGGAAAGCAACCGTACCTGCCTGTGCTATGCTGACCCTTCTCAGCCTCAGTGCCCTCCTCCCTCCCAGACACACCCTCACGGCCCCTGCCGGGCCTCCAGTGCACCCTGTGTCTCTATGACAACCTGCTCAGAGTGTGGCCTCACCCATGGCTCCCCTCCACACCTGTGTCCCAGGCAGTGGGGACATTTGTGGCAGTGCCACAGCACTTGCCTGAAACAGAAGGATAGGCTTTAAAATAGTTCCAGACACTAAATATACTTGCATCTTGGGTCCAAGCAACTTCTCACAAGTGCCCCTACACACTCTCAGTCCTATCCACTATGGGCGGGGAGCCTGAAGGATACCCCAGGAGTAGCCAAAGCGCTCACCCTCCTCCTCCACCCTCAACTTCTGGTTAAACACTTTCATGCAGCCGAGTGGTCCTGGATGTCAGCTTCTTGCTCTCCATGGTCTGTACCTGGACAGGTGCTCTCAGGTGTGTAGGTGGACATGTGGCAGGTCCCAAGAGCCAGGTGCAAAGAATCTAGGCCAGTGCCCACGATTGTTGCAGTGTCTGCCCCTAGCATGGTATCTAGGGCTCCTATCAGCTGTAATCAGAGGAGCCCTTCCAGGCCAGGCCTCCCCCAGGAAGGCTGCAGGCACTGCGGATCTTGCACCCTCACATACATTATTCCTGAGGCCCTTCTGCAGATGCCATCAGGGTAACAGCTCTGATGAGGTTTTAGGGCACAGCACACAGGGCTAAGCCACTCTGTACTGGGCCAAGCACTACAGGCAAAAGGACACCACTGACAGACACTTCATTCATCACTTTTGTATTTTTTTTGAAAGGGAGTCTCACTGTCACCCAGGCTGGAGTGCAGTGGCACGATCTTGGCTCACTGCAACCTCTGCCTCCAGGGTTCAAGTGATTCTCCTGCTTCTGCCTCCTAAGTAGCTGAGATTACAGGTACCCACCACCATGCCCAGCTAATTTTTATATTTTAGTTGAGACAGGGTTTCACCATGCTGGTCAGGCTGGTCTTGAACTCCTGACCTCAAATGATCAGCCCAATCTGCAGGGGTCCTGCAGAGGAGCTTTGCTCCTCCAGGAAGCAGGAAGCTTCCAGGTACCCTGTGGAGCCTCCTCTGCTCCTCAAGTTTCCACCTGTGCTTGGCGGGATGCCAGGTGGTCTCAGATTGATCCCGGGGTCACCAGTGAGGGACGGGAAGCCCACAGCAGGATTGGGATGGGGATGGGGCCTCCTGTCCCCTGGCTCTGCAGCTGTGAGGCAGCTTTCCCATGGGAGTCTCCTGGTTGCAGCTAAGATCAGGCAATGGAATCAGAAATGACTGGGCTTCTACTCCAGGGCTCCCTCATCTGGTTAACCGCAAAAAAGAAAATACAGTTCCTGCTAGTAAGGTCTAGAGAAAGGAGGTGAAGGAGTCAGGCTTGCAGCTACCTCTCCTGGGCAGGAGCCGGCCAGGATAACTGAGATCCTTGCACGCGGCAGGCACCCAGCTCGAGGCCTATCTCCCCCCAGGGCAGGGCTTGGTGAGGAAAGGGCTCCCCTGAAGCACAAGGCAAGCACTGTGGAATTTCAAGACAACTTTATTCAGGCAGGCGCCTCCCAGAACACAGGGAACTTGGGCAGCAGCTATTAAAATACACTCTTGCCAAATGATTTACAACAGAACAGAACAGGGAGCAGGGGATCTGTGGGTGGGGCCAGGTTGGGCCCTCTATCTCACAAGGCCTGAGTCAAGCCCAATCACCCTGCTTAGCAGGGGCTAACCCAGGCCGAGGTCTCACTTCCTCTTACCACAAATGCACACCTCCATTTTCCCCACCCCCGTCTCTCCCTAGGGTCCTCAAGCGGGAGAGGTAGCATCCCTCGGATCCAGGCCCACTCCACTCCGTCTCTGGCACCAGTGGGCAGGCTGGGTCTGGGTCTCAAGGGGCCCTGGGCTTGGGGTGTCTATGGCAATAGGAAAATGACATGGACAGGGTCTTCAGGGGTAGGCTAAAGTCCTCTGGCCAGCAGTGCCCAGAGAAAATGGACAGCAGCAGGTAAACCAGCCAGGAGATGGGGTCCTCTGAACCCACAGCAGACCAAACCCTCCTGCCCAGACCCTGCCCACACTGGGAGTCAGGACCACTGAGACTCTGGTCAGGATAGTAGGTGCCCTCAGCAGTGTGGCAAGCTCAGAGCAGGGCTCCCCAGGACCATATCACACTGGCTCAAAACTCATAGGTAACACCATCCCAGCAGGAGCTTCCATGGGAGCTGGATCCCAGGGATGCATCCTGAGCACAGGTGGGCGGCCTGGAATATGGCACTAGGACCCAAGGGATCTGGAACATCCTGAGCCCATCTTCTGGGTTGCTCCAGCCTGTCTCCAGGACTTGCGGTGAGTGGGCCTCCTGCCAGGTGGCAAGGCACAACTTAGACCAACCCCTTGGCCTCCATTCCCCATGCAGCTGCCTCTGACTAAGAAGGAACTAGCAGGCTTATGCTGGCCAGACCACAGGTGGGGTGCTGGGAGTCCTCAGGCCAGCTGGCACCTCTGTCCATGGGAGAGACAGAGACTTGTTCAGATGCATAGGCCTCAGGCGGTTCAAGGCAGTCTTGTAGCCAGAGAGGCAAATAAAAATCAGTTTGAGAGACCACAGCACCCGCTGCTTTGATTGTGATGTTCAAAGGCAAGATGTAAGTCAAGGCAAGTGTCCCAGAGGCCCTGGGCAGCTGAGTGCACCTGTGTTTGAGCTTCCCTGAAGACGGACACTCCCAGCTGACCATCTGAACACCAGGAGAACATTCCTCTTTCCTGGGCTCAGTTCCCAGTCTACCTGCTGGTCCGACCTCAACCCACACACTCCCACCCACACTGTAGCTCCTTCCAAACCCTCCCAATAAGCCACCTTTGCAGGACTTGGAAGCTGCTTAGGATGGGCCCTGCCATTAGTGGGAAGCCAATCCTAGCAGAAAGGTAAGCTAAAGAACAGTCTCAGGATCTGAGACCCAGTGACTGCCCCCCAACTCCCAGGCCTTGGGCCTGAAGTACAGGCCTGCCTGTGGCCACTGTGGTGGGCTCACTCCCACCCCCAACAGTGGCCCCAGGAGAGGCTTTCCCAAGAGTTTTCAATCTCTACCCACCCCAGCCCTGGCATCAGGGACTCCCCACCCCCCAATGGAGTGTTAATATCATTAATGTACAGACAAAATCCAAAGATATATCAAAGATGGAGAAACAGCTGGCTCCGACCTCCCTCCCACAGAGCCTTCCCAGGGTTAGCTGAAGATAAGCCCTTTGGCTTCTACAGAAGCCAGTCGGAGTTTATGGTTTCATTTGCCCAAAAATACACCTTTGGGGACCTCAAATTCTTTCCAAGAATCACTACCACACATATGAATATGAACATTTGCCACTCTTCCACCATCCCTGTTTCTCCCAGGAACGTCAAAATAAAAATGGCCAGTCTGCCCCACTCTGGGTCCTCGCCTATGGCTGTCTCTTCTTTTCCAAGGGCTGCAGTTCTGATGTGAATGAAAGTGCCGTTCCAGCGCTGGGCCTCTGGCAGGCTGCATCACATGATTGCACAGCACGAGTTTTGTTTCCGGGCCTTGGAGAAAACAGAGTTGCTGAGGAGGAGGACTGACGAAGTCAGGGCAGCCCCAATCCCGGCAGGCGTGGCAGCGGGAGCTCTACTGGACACAGCCAGCCAGAGAAACTAGCACTAGAACAGGGTGGGGGTGAAGGCCTTGAGGGAAGCTGCCCACAAGCAATTCCCATACCAAGCACAAGATGGGCCACGGCTTCCAAAACTAGTCTGGGATCCTTTTTTACTTTCTTTTCCCACACCCCATTAATGCTATCAAAAAGTAAGTAAAATTCCTACAGTTAGGCCTGGTACAAACAAAGGAACAATAATACAAACAGGGCTGGGCACAGTGGCTCATGCCTGTAATCCCAGCACTTCAGGAGGCTGAGGCAAGTGAATCACTTGAGATCAGAAGTCCGAGACCAGCCTGGCCAACATAGTGAAACCCTGTCTCTACTAAGAATACAAAAAAAAAAAAAAAAAAAATCAGCCAGGCGTGCTGGCCAGCGCCTGTAGTCCCAGCTACTGAGAAGGCTGAGACACGAGATTCACTTGAACCCAGGAGGTGCAAGTTGCAGTGAGCCAAGATCACACCACTGCACTTTAGCCTGACTCTGAGATTCTGTCTCAAAAAAAATAAAATAATACAAATGGAATTCACAGAATATCTTAACTTTGCCCCCACTCTTGTCTTCCAACAATGCTATCTAACCACCATGGTGGTGTTTCTTCCCAGAAGATGGTCCTGAGGACAACAGATGTGTTTCCCAGTTGGGATGTGGTTTGTAGGAACAGTGGTTGCCACCTTCTCTCTTGATTTCTGGTCACAGACTATCTTCCTAATCCCACCTAGCCATCTCCCTCCAATGTGCACATGAAAGCAAATGAGTGTAGACAGACCAAGTAAGTATGTCCCTATGACTCTCCAACCATGGGCCAACAGTGCCATCTCCACATAGAAAGACATGAGCACTGACCTGAGAGCAAGCGGCAGTCAGCAACACCCATCCTTGTCAATGAGATACTTCCGTCAAAGGGAGATTAACTAAAAGCTTAAGTACCTCTTCGGGAAGGCTGAATTGCTTGCATCTTAAAGACTTAGACTAACTGCTCTACAGAGGAATACGACTCAACAGTAAACCTCTGAGGATCAGAACTTGAACCAGCCTTCCTGGACTGGAGGTAGGAGTGCAGAGCAGAGGCAGGGGTGGAACAAGACCTCTGCCTACATCTGCTTCAATGATGCCCAAGTGAACTGCCTCCAACCACCTGGGCCTGAGGCTCACCTTAGGCTCTCAGTGCACAAGGAGTGAAACCCCCATCCACTATGATTCAGAAGTCTAAGAAAGACCTGTTCATAGTAGAGAATGCCAGAAGCAGCAAGCAGCAACTGTTCTCTGGAGAGAACACCGAGGAGGCAGGTGCTGGGTACTCACAGTTTTATAGAAGGCTTTAGACTGCGTTCCAAGCACCTCGGATTTGGACACCAAGTCGTCTAGCTTCTCACCTCGCTCTAACAAAGACTCCATGGTGTTGTGCTGGACAAAAGAGAAAAGGGAACCCAGCTCTGTTCAGTAAGTTCCCTGACATGAGCCCCTCGTAGTTCAGTCATGGAGGAAAGCGTCTTACCTGAGTTCCTCTCCAACACACACAAACTTCACCTCTAAGTGTTGAGACTCGGTCCAAGAACAGTTACTGTCCAAGTGAATGGACCAGAACCTGGTGACATTTCTGTGAAATCTAGAAGATCTAACTGGAATGTAGCAAACTTCCCAAAAAGCTGTCCCCAGCACAGGATTAGATAACCAGCACTCCAGGAACTCATGTATACACACATTTATACATACATCTGTGTGTGTGTGCATACACGTGCATGTGCACAGGGCTCTGGAAAAAGAGAAGAGTAGCTGGGCACTAAATGGCTGTACTGGGTTGGATAGTGACCCCCACCCTCCACGCAAAATTAACATCCCCAGAACCTCTGAATGTGACCTTATTTAGAAATTGGGCCTTTGTAGATATAAGTAGTTAGGAAGAGGTCATACTGGATTAGGGTGGCCTCTAATTCCATGGCTGATGTCTTAGAAAATGAAAACACACAAAGAGAAGGTTACGAGATGGCAGAGGCAGAGCCTGGAGTGATGCATCTCTAACCCAAGCAACGCCACAGACCCCCTCAGAGCCCCAGAAGACACCAGCTGGGCCCACTGGGCTATGTGTTAACAGCAAATATTTGAGGGTATCTGTTAACAGCAGCCACAGGAAACAAAGGCAGTGGGAAATGGCTGCTGAGCACTTGACATGAGGTGAGTCCAAACTGAGCAGTGCTCTGAGTGAGACATATCAGATTTCAGATGCAGACTCATGCACGCCTCATTAATAAGTTTTATACTGATTACATGCTGGGAATGTTTTATTTGGATATGTTGGGTTAAGTAAAACACATAATTAAATTCCACCTATTTTCCTTTTATCATTTTAAAATGTAGCTCCTAGAAAATTCCAAGTTACACACATGCCCCAAATATATATCGGACAACAGTATGACAGAACATGTCCTGCCGTCTAAATGTCCTAAAGGTCATCAAACTCTGATTTAGGAAATGAAAACACTGACCCCACAAGAAGGGGTCTAGAGATGGAGGCTTCACAAGAGCCAGCAGCCCTGCTACCAGCGCCCTCAGGAAGCAGCAGCTCCCTTCTCTCCCTAGATGGCTGCTGCTACAGCAGCTGGATGCACATATGAAGCGGCACAGAACGAGGAGCCAGCAAGAATGCACTTCATCCCTGTGCACAGTTGAGCAACTCAGATTTTCAACACACAAAGTTAACTGATTCAGATATACACACCAATCATCTAGACTTTACAACTGTAGCTAGATGAGGCTGGGTAAATAGGACTCATCCACTCCGCACCGTGGGGAGAGGAGAAACAGCAGGTGTCCCAGGTGCCATGATACTCAGACTAGGACTTGAGCAACAGAAAGAAGAGACGACTTGAGAAGAAAACGGGGAAATGCCACCTAGGTGGTAAGAAAGCTCATAAGGTTTCAAAGGACACAGATTCCATGAAACTTTCACATCTATCATTCATTCCAAAGCCACGTTATTCAGAGTGTGCTCAGCAGACCTGCATTTGAAGCCCCTGGGATACTTTTTATAAAATGCAGGTTCCCAGGCCCCACCCTAAACCAACAACTCCAACCCCAGGAGATGCTGATGTACACACTAAAGCCGTGCCTGTGGAAACAGTAAAGCTTTGTATCTGGGCTTCAATCCACTCTAGGTATCTATCCACTGCTGAACACAGGTATAAACTAGGCACCAGATCGTGAGCAGGATGGAAAGATGTCCCAGTGCTCATATGCTAGTCAGGGAGACATGTAAGAAAGCAGTGACAGAACTGTGACATTCAGAAAGGCTCAAGCTTCAGGTGCCTGTGTATAAGGTGGGCAGGAAAGGGTATAAGAAAGAACAGGGCCCAGTCAGGAGATTGTGAGTTAGGAATTTGCACTTTGTCCTGGAGCAGATCTGAGAGCTGCTGAAGGGTTGTTGTGCAGATCAATGACTGCTATCTGGTGGACAGACTGGCGGTGAGAAGGAAGCAAGTGGACCAATTACAGGTGAAGGCTAGAGGCTGCTTGCATTCCACTTGTATGCAAAATTTAAAAAAAGGAAAAAAAAGGAGTTGAAGCAGCAGTTACAAATCAGGATATTTCAACAGAGATCTATCCAGAACAGAACAGTCACAGCATTTGGTACAGCCAGAGGAACAGATGCTGACAAGGAGCCTCCAACTGGGGATATGATATAAAGGGCAGCCAGGGCCATTAGAGCAGGGTGCTCAACTGGGAGCTCACAGCAGGCTCCAGCAGAGCTATACAGGAAACTGAAGGCCTGACTGTGGGACCCCTGTGTGCTGTGCCTCCACAATAAAAATCAAGATTTGGACAACAGTTCAACGAGGTACTATGTGTAATGCACTTGGCACAATGCCTGCACACACACAAATCAGGAGAGTTCAGCAGTTACAAATCAGATTTCAACTCAAAATGTAGGGTTCTGGCTCTTCTCAAATGGACCTATGTGACAACTCTGGGCCTGTATGCCAGAAGCTACCCTGTGGTCAGTGCACTGTGCTTCAATCTGTTCACTTTCAAGGCAAACGCTGCAAGGAAAGATACCTGTGGGGTGTGGAGGCACCTGACACCCTAACAAAGGCACCAAGCTGGGAATCCAGGCCTTCAGAGGCCAAACTCTAGGAACCCAGTAAATGCCCAGACAGACAGTAGCCATGGGGAGGGGGCACTTGAGGGCTCCAATGGTTCCCAGCTTGGTCCCCTACAAACAATGGGTGCCATTAACCAAAACAAGGAGAGCCAGTCTAATGCCTGGGGTGGGGCAAGGGGTGGGCAATCCCACTTCCTGCGGAGTGCTGTGGTTACTATTAAAACAAGGATGGATCTGTGCCTGCCTGGCCAGTGGCAAATCGCACCCCCGCCTCAGTTCTTGGGCTTGCTCGCCATCTTCCTACTTACCAGAATGATTTTGGTCTCATCTAGTTCAGCCTGCACTTTAGTCATGGGATCAGCTTCTCGTGGGTTCTAGGACAGAGTGAAAAATAATAAAGTCAGGACTGGAGTGGCTACCTGGAAAAAAAGCCTAAAAGTGAGGAAGATGGACAAACTTTCACAGGTTAAAAACCACAGCCTGTTGAACATGTAACAGAAACCCAAAGCCTGCCTTGAGCTTCGGTTCCCAGGTCTGAAGGTGGATTCTGTTTTTCACACAGAAGTCTTGAGAGAGAACACCAGCATCAGAAGCTGTCTGATGTAACCAGACCAGAACTATGAGAGCAGTTGGCTTTTTCAGTTTCACATGGATTCTGGGCCACATGGTGTCTGCACGAAGCTTCCTTTAACCCTACCTGGTATCTACTGAGGTGACCCTCCAGGGCTGTATAATTGATTGTAGCAGGGGATCCTACTGGCCAGTCTATCCTGTCGACTTGCTTGGAGAATTCATCTAGTACCTGCAAGACAAAGGAGCCTCAAGAAGCTCCCACTTTGTACTCACCAGTGGTCTCAACGACAAGGCTTCAATCCCGAGCACCTCACCTTGAACGAGGCTCCCTGACCCCCAGAGCCCATGAAGAAGGAATGAGGGGGATATATAAGGGCAAGAGAGAAAATCTAAGCTAAAGTTCTTTCCAAATTTTTATCATTAAAACACATCCTAAATATTCTGAGAATCAAAAGTATGCCCAGCCTGAGATGAACCTCACCTGGGGAGTAATAAAGGTATTTGAATTTTTAAACTATAGAATTCCTGAAAAAAAAAGGGCACTGGCCCTCTAATTTTCCAAAGCAATTTTTTTTTAAAAAGAGAATTAGTCCCCTGGATTTAAGAAACCACCAGATTTCATGTGTTCGGAGGTATTTTAGTGCTCTGGGTGATAGAATTAAGCCTCTGACTTCAAAGAGTTTACATTAATAATTAGTACCGCACACACAAATAATTAAAGAATGCTTAGGTGCTAAGCTCTGAGATGCAACTGACTGACATCAAGGTAGAGGGATGCAGGAACTGCAGGAGGCAATGTGGAGAGTGAGGGCATTCAAGAGGGAGACTCCTTGCACAGAAGCACAGGGGGCGAGAAAACGAGGCTCAGCCGTCTCAGAGGGTCCCGACCCAGAGAAGAGATGCTGTGACTCTGTGGCCTAGACCCAGGTCACATGAGATAGCACCGGGGAGGAAACCCACGCAGGGATGCCAAATTGTCTCTTGGGTTGCAGGGAAGGGGGCTGAAAAATGTGTTGACTTTGGACACATTATTTCATCCCTTATGCCTTAGGCACTGCCATCCCCCCCGCCCCAGTCCATGAAAATGCCCATTCATCATCCAAGTCCAGTAGAGGCAAATCGAAAACTCACCTTCTCCAGCAAGGTAAATGCCACCCGAGATGGGTATTCATTATCAGCAATGACCACACCTGCAAGACTGTCATTCCGGACATACACATGGCACAGATAGTCTAAGGAGACAAGAGATCAGACACATGGATGCTGACATGAGGGCTTCAGACTTCTTTTAATCACCCCAAATCAAAGTATCACAATGCTGGGCCAAATGAAGCCACTCTGAAGTTCAATAGCTCTGAGCAAGGCTTGTGGAGAGGCTTAGCAGAACGGCCCAATGGGCCACACACAGGAGCTTGGCCCAACACCTGCTTTAGGAACAGTAAATACCCAGAGGCCCAGTATGCAAAGCCAGGGCTTAAAACAGTCAGTGGTGCAGAAAACACACCCCAGACAAAATGGCACCAGGAGCACTTCCGAGCGTCTTCTTCCAGCTCAGGTCGGGCCAAGCTATATCTTGGGGATCTGAAGCCCTTGGGGCCTTGTGCTGCTCCCCAAACTTAGGGAACCCCAGACAAGTCAAGCGGCCTCTACTTTCCTAAAAAATCATTTCAGAGCAGCCAAAAGACAGGAAATTACCCCCCAGGGCCTCAGTCTTCCATATTATAGCAACCTGCTGGGTTTGCTCCACTCTGGTGGGTAACTGGGAGTAGGGGGATTAGTCTAGAAAAAGATCAGCCACTTCCAGCTAAGGCCTCCAGTGCACTGTGCTAAAATCCTCCTATGATTGAAAGCTACAGTTGTACAGGTCTTCTGCAAAATATTCACAATCCACAGGATTGTTCATTTACATCACTTTGAAAGGATTCAGAGTTGATACAGCTAACCATATCCCCAAGGAAAGAGAAACGTTAAGGATTACAGCTTACGAATAAGAACCTTCTCATCCTTAAGGATCTGACCCAGAAGATTCCAATGCTAAACAACAGAAAAACAAATAAAAGAGGAGGGAATGATGGTGAGCCCCTGAAATCAGAGCAGAGATAAATAAGAACATGAATGAGGAGGAGGAAGAGAAAGGGGGATTATCACCAATGCTCTCCAGATTTTGTATACCATCCCCAATTAAGATTCAAACATGGGGTCAAAGTGCACACCCTCCAAAGAAACTGAGAAGCTGGTCAGTGGGGGAACTGTCTTTAAGTAATAAACGTGGAAAGGGCAGGCACAATTTGAAAGAGAACAGAGTAAGAACACGGAAATACTTGTGATGCGATTTCACTTCTGTGATGTTAACAGCACAGAAATCTCACAGAGAAGAGTGGGGTCCCAGTAGAAAGGAGAGAGCTGGATGCTGCATGAGGTGAGGCATGGCAGCCAGGTCAGCACACGTGTAGAAGTTGGAGGGTCCTCTTACCTTGTTCTTTGACAGAAGCTCTAGTGCCTTTTGATGAGCGCTCCACAATCAGTTGACTCGTGAAGGTCATAAATTCCTGAACGCTAAGAAACACAAAATGTATTAACTGCCTTCTTCTTATCACCTTGTCCCCACCACAGTGGAAAGTGACCTCTGGGCTTATACATTAAGGAGACATTGTTTCTTGGTTTCATTTCTTTCCCTCACATCCCTAGTAATAAACACTCTATAAATGAGCACAAATACTGATAATTATGAATCACCATCACCATTCAAGCTCTATCTGTTTGCTACCTAAGCTCACCAAAACAGGTGAATTTTCTGGGGGATCTTCCACAGGGTACAGTCAATTTTACATTTTGGTCAGAGCATAATTTGGGACTCAATGGAAAAACAAGAGGCAGGTCCTGCTCTCAAGGTCCCAATAACTTCCAAGAAGCAGGACAAATAAGAACTGCACCAGGAAAATATTAGTGCAAAAACTGTCAGGCGAAAATACACAACCATTTATGGCTGTGTCCACATGACAGACCCTCACATTGCCACATACACCCACAGTGAATGCTGGCTCAGGTCTGCTGGGGCTCGTCCATAGAACAAGCACAAGGCACTCTGGAAGGAATAAAAGGAAAACAGCTTGTCCAAGACAAGGAATTGGGAAATGGCACATACAAAGGGTAAAAGGGAAGAGAAGGTCTATCATGGGCTCAACAGAGAGATCTATCCAGAACAGAACAGTCACAGCATTTGGTACAGCCAGAGGAACAGATGCTGACAAGGAGCCTCCAATTGGGGATATGATATAAAGGGCAGCCAGGGCCATTAGAGCAGGGTGCTCAACTGGGAGCTCACAGCAGGCTCCAGCAGAGCCATATAGGAAACTGAAGGCCTGACTGTGGGACCCCTGTGTGCTGTGCCTCCGTGATAAAAATGAAGATTTGTGTAACAGTTAAATGAGGCACTATGTGTAAAGCACTTGGCACAATGCCTGCACACACAGTATTACTTGTTGGTATCTTGAGGGACTGTTGTGATCAAAATAACCCCTCAGAAAAGAAGACCCCAAACAAGGAAGGCTTTGTAGTAAACCTAAAGAGACAACTCTTGAGGTAGGGCTAAAATGAGACAAAGGAAGAACTGTGTTGTGACAGCATGTATACAAAGGCCAAAAAAGCTGGGAAACTATTTTTTCAAGTTTGGGATCTGGTAATTATGGGGCAGGAAGGATGTAAGTGAAGAGGTCTTATAAGAAAACAAGCTCAGGCCAGAAGCCATGACTCATGCCTGTAATCCTTACACTTTGGGAGGCCGAGGCAGGCAGATCACTTGAGCTCAGGAGTTCTAAACCAGCCTGACCAACATGGTGAAAACCAGTCTCTACTAAAAATACAAAAAAATTAGCCAGCATAGTGGTAGGCACCTGTGATCCCAGCTACTTGGGAGGCTGAGGGAGGAGAAATGCTTGAAGCCAGGAGGCAGAGGTTGTAGTGAGCTGAGATCGCACTATTGCAGCTATCCTGGGTGATGGCACAAGATGGTCTCAAAAAAAAAAAAAAAAAAAAAAAACAAGCTCAGCTGGAACATGTGTTGTTCTAAGACCTGTTAGTAGAGATGTCCCTTTAGTGTTGTAGCTGTCAGTCATTGGAAACTAGTGTGGGTATCCCAAGCAAGTGAGGTGTAAGTCCCACAAGTGAAATCTCTGAGAATTCTAAGTACTAATGGGAAGGAAAAAGGAAAAAGAATCAGAGCCAAGTTGGCACCAAAAGTTCCATCTGAGAAAAGCAACAACACAGAGCAGTGAATGTAGGCCATGGTAAAGACTGCAAATACCAAGAACTCCAAAAAGGAGCTAAAAGATGATGCAGCAATTCCGCTTCTGGGTAAATACCAAAAAGAAATGTGAGCAGGGTCTTGAAGACATCCAAGTCTGTTCACAGCAGTATCGTACACAATGCCTGAAATGTGGAAGCAGCCCAAGTGTCCACTGACAGATGAATGGATAAACAAAATGTGAATACAGACAATGGATTATTCAACCTTCAAAAGGAAATTCTGATACGTACAAGATGCCTGAGCCTTGAGGACATTATGCTGCGTGAAATAAGCCAGACATACAAAAACTATACGATTCCATTTATCTAAGGCTGCCAGAAAAGTCAAGATCACAGAGACAAATTAGAATGGTGGCTGCCGTGGGCTAGTTGGTGTTTAATAGAAACAAATTTGATAAAAAGGAGTTCTGGAGACTGGTGACAGTGACGGCCGCACAACGCTATCAATCTATCTTGTACCACTGCACTCACTCCGCACTTAAAGACAATGAAGATGATAAATTTTATGTGCCATTTTACTACAATTAAAAAACATTTTTTTAAAAGAACTCAAAGGAGCAGAAAGTTTCAACAAAATAAGAGATTTTTTTTTTTACATCCAGCAAGTCATTAACAGAGAACTCTCATCAAGAACCAGCTGCACTGAAGCAGGGAAAACAGAATCCAAACGGCAGATTCCATGAGACTTTGAGACAAGATGACCATGGACACCGACCATGTAGGGTCCTTCTTCTTTGGTGCCTGAGTCACCCCACCGCCTCCCATGGATGGTCTGGAAGTGTCTGTGGTACTTCTAACACGTCCCAGCAATTACAGCACTCCAGAAACATTTAAAAGCTTGTAAGCCCTACAGACCCCAGGCTTGTTTTGAATCTTCAGTGTGGAATCCTTTTGTACCACTAGTGTCCGACTAAAAAGGGTTGAGTCCGGGCTTACAGTTCTAGCGGGTTGTGGTATCATCTCTTGGTACCTCAGTGACTTCACCATCCAAAAAAAAAAAAAGCGTATCAGTATCTCTCACACTGAATTGCTGGGAAGCCCCGCGCGATAATCAAAGGATGGCTCTCAAGATGTGGCACCCCGAGTCGGAATTCCTGGATGGGAGCTGTTGGTCTAAAATGCAGGTTTCGAGGCCTCCATCTACTCATTTAGAACATCTGGGCATGAAGCTTGGAAACCTGCACTCCATTTTACATTTTTACAAGGCAGAAACTTGAAAAACACTGGGTAGAGAACTGTATTCTAGAACGGTATAAGCGTTTTAAGAGCGAATGTTGGATGATTCCTCAGAGGTACAGTCCACGGGCAGATTCCACTACAGGAGGCCAAGCCCGAACCACGGACCCTGGGCTCTCCCCGCCCCTCCCCAGACTGGGACTGCAGCCTTCTCTGACCCCGGGCCCTCGGCCGCCCCGCCCTACCCCTACCCTCCAGCCTCCTCCATCCTCCCGATCCCTCCCTCGACCCCCGACCCCAGTCCTCTCCGCCCGATCCCCACGGCCCACCCGCCTGCGCCGCTCACCTGGATCTCTGGAAAAAGCTGAAGGAAGACACATCGTGCGCGGCTTTGAGCAGCACCACCTTGGCGTCGCCTTTGTAGAGGACGCTGAGGCTATATAGCTTCATGGCTCCGCGCCTTCAGGCCGCCCGCCCGCCCAGCCGCGGGACCCGCTCTCAGGGAGCAGCGCGGCCGCCGCCCCTCCGGACCGCCGCCGCCTACCCGCCTCCCAGCCGGGCTGCTGACGGGGCCACCTCCGGCTTCCTCCTCCTGGTACGCAATCCACTTCCGGATCCGGTCAGTCTGCTTGTGGGTTCTCATACCCCGGATGCAGAAAGGAACGGCCGGGAACACAGTGCAGCGAGGGGCGGAACGCCCCGCCTCGCGTGAGCCTGGCCCCTCCCTGCTCTCCAGGTGGGGTCGGCCGCAAGGTGGGGTACTGTGCCGTCTTGTGTTGCGTGGTGCTGGGCCTCCCGGAGCGGCCTGAACCCTCCGTCGTGGTCCCCAGCCCCTCAGGGCTGTGCTGAGTCGTCCAGGTCGCTCTCACTCTGTACTCCAGGTTACAAGTGCGGTCTATAGGTCCATAGCTACTTCTTGGGCAGTGAGACCCAGAGCAACGCCGAGGGGCCAGTTCTCTGCATATCTTCCTGGAGGCAGGACCCTTCTCTTTCAGGGGCCCCTTCAGGTTTCAGATCATTGACTGCTCCTGCTGCGTGGAGGAGCAGAACCCGGGTGACACGAGACCCCAAGGCACAAGGCTGCTGGGATGCATGGGAAAGCACCGATTTAGGACTTCACAGAGCAGCAGAACTTGTTTACCTCTAAAGCGGGCAGAAATGTTCCACACTGCAAGGAGCACAAGGCTTGGTGCACAGTGACGTTGAGAACTTTTTGCTTGAGTTGTTGAAAGAAGGCAAGTCCACGGATAGGAATGAGTGAGGCACAGTTCCCTGAAGATGCCGTACCTTGCCCGTTTCTTGGGTACTAAGTGATATCACGTGTTACTAAACTAAACCAGGTGCATTTGCCTACACACAACTTAAAACCAAACATCCAAGCACTGGATTTTTGTAGCAAGAAAGATTTCTTTTCAAGCAGCCTTGCAAGGAGACAGAAAATGGGTTCAAATCCTTGCTTCGGCAGCAGTAGATTTAAGGGAGAGATTTTGGAGGTGGAGTTTCGGGCTGGGCAGTGATTGGTTAGAAAATCCCTTGGCCATCTGCTGTTGCTTCTTCATACTGCTTCCCGGGTCACATGCAAATCCAGGGGAGTTGGTATAAAACAAAATGTGGAAATTCGGGCTGTGACATCCAAGACCCACTCATCGGGCTAATGAGTCTATTTTGCCAAGGCTGCAGTCAGCCATATTAGTTCCGACCTGTTTCAGCAAGTTGTATAAGCAGAGGGCATTATAGCAAACGGGTTATCAGCCGTCCTGCATGTCAAGATCAAGATTTCTATTAGTTACTAGTTTCTTTAACCCCGTCGGGCACAGTTTCGCATGTAATCAGAAAGGAACTTGCAAGACACACACATCTGAAAGGACCTTGGTCTTTGGAAGTTGTCGGTAAGGTCACAAAATTATGATGCCAGAAACAGCCGTATCTGAGATTACGGGAGAGAGAAGATATATTGGAAAAACAACAGCATCACTTTAAACATTACTCTAAATCAAGGTTTCTCAACCTTGGCAATATTGACATTTTGGGTTGGATAGTTCTTTGTCGTTGAGAGACTGCCTTGTGCATTGTGCAGGCAGCATCTCAGGCCTTGTACCCACTAGATGTTAGTACCAACCCACCCCCTCCCCCACTGCACAATCAAAAATGTCAAAATGTCCCTTGGGAGCAGTAGTTTAGAGAAACATTGCTCTGTGTTGGGTGGGAGGAGGTGTACTTGTTTGTTTTGTTTTGCTTTGAGACAGGGTCTTTCTCTGTTGCCCAGGCAGAAGTGCAGTGGTATGATCTCACTCACTGCAATCTATCCCTCCTGGGTTCAAGCAATTCTCGTGCCTCAGCTTCCTGAATAGCTGGGATTACAGGTGTGTACCCCAACACCCAGCTAATTTTTGTATCTTTAATAGAGACAGGATTTCACCATGTTGGCCAGGCTAGTCTTGAACTCCTGACCTCATGTACTCCACCCACCTCAGCCTCCCAAAGTGCTGGGATTATAAGCATGGGCCACTGTGCCCAGCTGAGAAACATTGCCTTAAATAATCTGTGGTGAAAGGAAGTTTCCACCACCTGCCCACTTAGTTCCTCTCTCACCAACCCTCTTTCCTGGGTGTTTCCAGGTACAGAGGGTGGAAAGGGGTTTACCACATTTCCTCTGTTTTGGTGGTAAACATCAGGAACAGCCATTGGCCATGGCTAGGCTCATCCACCCACAGATATGGACACAGTAGTGTGACAAGCTGGGTTGCTGGGTACTCAGTCCAGGCTCATCTGACTGCACTGACACCATTTTCCTGTAGGAGGCAGGTGAGAGCCATTTCTGAGGAAAATCCGGAACTTTACCTTCCACTGAAAGTTGTGCAAAAAGATCAGGAAGACAGTGCTTGGATGGAATAAATTTCAGTGTATTCACTTGACACATTATAGTAGTTGTCCCAAAGTTTACCTTATACCAAGTACTTTCCATGTGCTACTTCATTTAATCCTCACAAAAAACAGGGGAAGATATTATTGTCACTTTACAGACATAGAAACTGAGATTCCGTTTAAGGAGATTGTTAGTAAGGGACAGAGTTGGGGTTCAGCTATCAACAGTGAAATGCTTAACAGTCATGCAGCCCAGCTCTGCCCCTGGAAACTCTTCCTGCTCCTCTGTGGTCTTGCTCAGCCTCTACAATTCCAGGAAGCCTCATTCATAGTCATGTGGTTGCAGACTTTCCAAGTTCACTGTGTTACGGAAAAGCAAGACTTGCCTTCCACTCTGTCACCCTGGCTGTCACCCAACTTGGATTCAATCCCAGCACTGACACATCACAGAATCACAAAAGTGAGCAAACCATTACCTCCCTGAGTCTCCTTTTTTTCTTCATCTGTAAAACCAGAAAAGTGTTCTTTCCATAGGAATATTGTTAGGAATGATAAAACATTATATTACAAGCTCTAGTGATTGCTGATATTTAACAGGTAACAGTGATAATTATTTGTCTTCTCATTAATGAGAAAAAGGATTATTAATCATAGTGGGTTAAAGGCATTCTACAGTCTATGGGAAGTAGAGATTTGAAGATAGGCTAAAACCCAACTAAGGCCTCTAGATTAGATAATAGTATTGTATCTATTTTAATTTCCTGCTTTCAATCCCATGCCATGGTTATGTAAGAGAGGTCTTTGTTTATAGGAAATATACATAAGAATTTAGAAGTAAAGAGACATTTTGTCTGCAAATTAGTGTGTGTGTGTGTGTGTGTGTGTTAAAGCAAATACAGGAATCAGTGTGAAAGGTATCTAGGAATTTCTTGTTGTTCTTGCAACTGTTCTGTAGGTACGAAATTGTGGGAATGGAAAATGCAGGGACGGGGCAGTAAGGCTATGAATGAAGCCTGCAGAGGAGTGTGGGTAATAGAGTTCTTTAGTCCAGGCTTCCCCCTTTGGTGCTGGGACCTAAAAGAAAAGCCTTTCTGCAGACAGAACTGGAGTTAGCACTGTCCAAGATGAAGAACCCAGGCCCTGTAAGTTTGCCTCACTGGGCAAAACAGGTACCCACCCACTTTTGCAGCCTTGCCCAGTTCATGTAAGGTGTCAGCCCTTGCTATACAGCAAAACCTTTGGGGAGCTGGGAAAAAGCCTGTCAAGGAGCATACCCCCAGAAGGCCCAGTCCAAGGGGGGATCCCAGCCACACAATGGTCCTTGCCCCCACACCTCCTCATTCAGTTGTCCAAGGCCAGGGCATATATGCCTCCACAGCTCATATAGGAAAGGGGCCACCAATGTGGTCAGGCCTCCATGGCCTGAGTAGTTCACCAAGCCTCAGGTGCACAGACTTGATGTCATCGATCAGGGTCTGTCAGCAGACCCAGCCCCCAGGAGAACTGAGCTCCCCACCACAACCCTACACCAAGGCATCTAGGGCTCCCTCTGGGTTCTCCAGGCCACAGGGAAGATAGGCATAGTCTGCCACCAAAGGCTTGAGCTCTGCCACTGGCTATGAAGCAGTAGGGGGTGTCAGAGCAAGGGAGGGACAGGACAGGAGTATATATGGGCAGGAAGGGATTACAGCCAAGGAAGACAAGAGGTAGGTGCCCTGATTTTGAGACTGTGCCCCTGCAGGGGCTTCCCAGAAGTTGTATTTGTCCTAAGATACCCCTCTGCAGCTGGGGGGCCAGAGATGGATAGGTAACTGTATTCGGCCATTTTTGTATTGCTATAAAGAAATACCTGAGACTGGGTAATTTAGAAAGAAAAGAGGTTTCATTGGCTCACAGTTCTTCTGGCTCTACAGGAGGCATAGTGCTGGCATCTACTCAGCCTCTGAGGAGGCCTCAGGAAACTTACAGTCATGGCAGAAGGCAAAGGGGAAGCAGGCACATCACGTAGTGGAAGCGGGAGTGAGAGAGAGAGAGAGGCATTAAGAAGTGCCACACTTCTGTGCCACTGAGTTCTGTGTGAACTCAGAGCAAGAACTCACCCATTACCAAGGGGATGGCCCAAGCCATTCATAAGGGATCCTCCCCATTACTCAAACACATCCCACCAGGCCCCACCTCCAACACTGGGATTACAATTCAGATGAGATTTGTTGGGGTCATATATCCAAACCAAATCAGTAGCCATGCTGGATGAATGCCAGGAATTTATAATTGGGACATATAGTCATTTAGGCCAGTGGCTTGTCCTGTTGATGGTACCCTGATAGCCGTGGGGCTGCCCCGTATGAAAAGGGAGAGGAAGTCTGCAGAGCTAGCAAAGAGGGGCAGGTGGGAAGGCCTGCAGAGGAATCCCCTGCTCCATGACCAGGCGTGTACCTCCCACATCCTCCAGGCTATAGGCCCCACGTGAGAGCAGAAAGGAGGATGCAAAGGAAGGGGAAGAACACAAGGTGTTCCCTTGGAAAGGGGACACCAAACACAACCTAACAAACAGCAACAGTGAGCACACAGGGAAAGTCCTCACAGGAAAACCACATCATGACCTAGAGGCTCATCTACCTCTACCACGTGGTGCCCTGGGCCTGAGCCTATCAACAGGTGGTCCTTATTGCCATAGCAATTGGTCTATGGATGGGCACCTGATCCAAGCTTCAGCCAATCAACAGGCCACTCAGCTGGCCATCAGTAGGCCATCCAATCAGAGCAAAGCTCAGGACTCTGTTTGACACTTAAGAGAGAAGCAAAGTACCTGGCACAGATTGGAGAGGGTCGGGGAACACCAAGCAAGATACATACAAACTTTGAGTTATCATGGATGATTAAATACAAATGTTTGTGTGAACTCCCTCCCAAATATTCTCCACTATAATGACACAAGACAAAGGGCAAAGAGAGAACAATTACAAGGTGGTACAAATGGGAGACACTACCGAGGGTGGCAGGGGAGAGAGGGGAGCAGGTGTGAAGTAGGAGTCAACAGGCCGAGGAGCAGAGGCCAGTAGGTTGGCAGGGGAGTGCTGAAGCAGAAGTGTTGAGTGTCTGGAGGGATGGGGCCAGAGAGACAAAGGGCATCCTGAAGAAGCTATACCTGGGTGTGGGTAACCCCCCATATAGGCACCGAGGAATGAGAGCTAAGCAGAACCCTGGCACAGTTAGGGCTTGAGGAATATCTCACTTTATAGTGTTACTACTCAGCTATTTCCTTTTATATAAGCCTTTACATAATCATATATTAGTTTATAGAATTAGGGCTTGATGAATCCCTTTATCTAATCCTCTATATATAATCATATAATAGTTGATCGTATGAGTGCCTAAAGAATATTTCCCTACATATATACCTACAATTATATCTTAGTTCATAATCAGAGGAATGCCTAGAGTGGACTCAGTACAGAGCATGAATTAAGGAATAAGCAGCTTATAATCAGAGGAATGCCTAGAGCAGACACAGTGCAGAGTATGATTTAAGGGAAAAACAGTTATACCAGGACAAGAATCCATGGTCCAGGTGGCAGCGTTCAGTATCTTAAAGATACCCACTGTGTGGCAGGCTTGGGGCGAGAGCCACTCCTCCTGATAAAAGAGTTGTAGGACCTTGCTCCAGTTCTTGTGGAAGGCTGCCCTCAGACTGGCAATCCACCCCGGTGACTGTGAACTTTATCAGCTCTTGCTATTGTGCTGCTTGAAAAGCATCTTCCCATAGAACCCACTGGAAGCTGCCAGAAGGTGGTGGTAACCTTGACAGCTCTGTCACTGCTATATGACTTAAAGCGTCCTCCTATAAATCTTCTTAGAAGTAGTTTGCCTGCACCCTCTTCACTGCGCATGGCCCACCTTCAAGCCTCGGTGACCTAACAGGGTGGACCCCTTACTGCACACGGCCCTTGCCTTCATGGAACGGGCCCCTTGCTGCGCACTGTCCACCTCCTGGCCTAGGTAACCTAATGGGGGTGGACCCCATGTTTTATTGCTCACAACCCTATCACTGTCCTTAAAGATGATTTCACTCACTGCCCTGCCCCCTAACCTATACACAATAAATACTCATGCTTCTGGACATTCAGGGCCTCGCCTGACTCTGCTTATAGGTGGTGTGGCTCCCTGAGCCCAGCTGCATTTTTCTTGTACTTCTGTGTCCTGTCTCTTTATTTCTTGGATCCTGTGCCAAAGCACAGCATAAGACACACCCCACAACTCTGTGGGGCCCTCAGCCCTACACCTGGGGAGGGCAGCTCCCTCCCCACTAGCTCCCCAATTCATAGCCAGGAATGTACCATCCACCCCACCCCAGGGAGGAGGACAGAGGACTTTCCTTTGGGATCACTGAATGGTTCAGAGATTCTGCCACTCTGGGGTCCTCAACTAAACCACTCATTGTTTCAAGTAGACCCTGGTGGGTAAATGTTCCCCGCTGTAACCAGACTTGGATTCCGCTGCTTGAAAGCCAAATAGCAAAGTAGAGGTTTGGTGGGAGGAAAAGTAGTTTTAACCAGAGCCAGCAAACTGAGAAGGTGTTGAATTGTTGTTTTAAAGCATTCTATTATCTCAGGTTTTAAAATGTATCATAGGATTCTCAAAGGAAAACTTGGAATGGGAGATACGTGGGAGCAGTGCAGGGTACAGGGTCTGTGTGTCTTGTTCCAGTGCTTGTCTTGACTAATCACCGGTCCTGAGGTCTGGTTGATGTTACCTTGACTTCGGCCAGGTGGTGGTGGACTAATTGTTCTGACTCCCCCTAAGGAGTCTGGTTCTGTGTCTGGTTTTTGTTTCAAGATTAGGCCCTGGAATTCCCGAGTAAGCATAGAGTTAGATAAACAGGTGCAGTGCAAAGGAGTGGCTAGAGGGAAAGGGAGAGAAGCAGAGTTTCAAAGCACATTTCAAGGCCACATTTTAAGACCAAAGAGAAAGATTTTGAAATGCATTTTAAAGCTGAGATGCTCAGCTCCACTAGGCTCTGGCCAATGTGCAGTGTGGCTGCCCTTGGATCAGGTGACATTTCAATCAACTGGGGACTCTGCTCCTCAGAACAGGAGTGTGGGAGACCCTGAGACACTGCCCCAGGACCTGAACAGGTGGCAAAGAACAGGCTAGCAGTCACTGCGGCAACAAGGTGATTGAGTGGTCACCATGGTGATGGGGATGGAGGCTCTTTGTCATCAGTCCCAGTTTTATGCATGGCAGCTCTAATGACAGGATGGTCAGCCCTGCTGAGGTCACTCCTGGTCACCATGACAACCACAGGCCCTCTCAGGAGCACAGAAGCCCTGGCAGGAGTATCCCCCACTCCACACCTGGTTGGAGCAAGAAGTGCCAAGCGGCGCCTGAGCCCCGGGGAAGCAGGCTAGGTGTGAGACACAGTCACCTGCAGCCTAATTACTCAAAAGCTGTCCCCAGGCCGCAGGAGGGAGAGGACCTTTCCTACAGAGTCTGTCTGAAAGACACTAAGCCCCACAGCTCAGCACAACTAGGAAACAAGGCACTGAGGACGTCACCCAAGCG